GGGGGAAACTCAATTCAGGAAAAGGATTAAGAGACGAGAATGGTAAAACGATTCGTCTTCTTCCTCTAATAATTTAATGAACCGTCAAAGCTTACGCGCTACGCGCGGGCAAGGGAAAACTTAATTCAGACAAGGATTAAGAGTCGAGAATGGTACAAAGAATCGTCTCCTTTCCCTTATAATTTAATGAAACGTCAAAGCTTCCGCGCTTCGCGCGAGAGGGGGGAACTCAATTCAGGACAAGGATAAAGAGTCGATGACGGTACAACGAATCATGTTCTTTCTCTAATAATTTCATTAAACTATGAAAGGCCAAAGCTTCCGTGCTTCGCGCAGGAGGGGGGGGGGGGTGAATTTAGTCAAGTAATAAGAGTCGAGAATGGTACAACAAATCTTCTTTCTCTAATAATTAATGAAAGGGCAAAGCTTCCACGCTTTGCGCGAGAGGGGGGGGGACTGCATTCAAACAAGGATTAAGAGTCGAGAATGTTACAACGAATCGTCTTCTTTCTCTAGTAATTTAAGGAAACGTTAAGCTTCTGCGCTTTGCGCGGGAGGGGAAAAAACTGAATTCAGAGAAGGATTAAGAGTCGAGAATGGAACAACGAATCATCTTCTTTCTCTAATAATTTCACTAAACTATAAAAGGTCAAAGCTTACGCGCTTTGCGCGGGAGGGGGAAAACTGAATTCAGAAAAGGAATACGAGTCGAGAATTGTAAAACGATTCGTCTTCTTCCTCTAATAATTTAATGAAACGTCAAAGCTTCCGCGCTTCGCGCGGGAGGGGGGGGGGGGGGGGGGGGGGGGGGGGGGGGGGGAGTCAATTCAGGACAAGGATAAAGAGTCGATGACGGTACAACGAATCATCTTCTTTCTCTAATAATTTAATGAAACGTAAAAGCTTCCGCGCTTCGCGCGGGAGGGGGGGGGAAACTCAATTCAGGAAAAGGATTAAGAGACGAGAATGGTAAAACGATTCGTCTTCTTCTTCTAATAATTTAATGAACCGTCAAAGCTTACGCGCTACGCGCGGGCAAGGGAAAACTTAATTCAGACAAGGATTAAGAGTCGAGAATGGTACAAAGAATCGTCTCCTTTCCCTTATATTTTAATGAAACGTCAAAGCTTCCGCGCTTCGCGCGAGAGGGGGGGAACTCAATTCAGGACAAGGATAAAGAGTCGATGACGGTACAACGAATCATGTTCTTTCTCTAATAATTTCATTAAACTATGAAAGGCCAAAGCTTCCGTGCTTCGCGCGGGAGGGGGAAAAACTGAATTCAGACAAGGAATACGAGTCGGGAATGGTACAACAAATCGTCTTCTTTCTCTAATAATTAATGAAAGGTCAAAGCTTCCGCGCTTCGCGCGGGAGGGGGGAGAGGGGGGAGTCAATTCAGGACAAGGATAAAGAGTCGATGACGGTACAACGAATCATCTTCTTTCTCTAATAATTTAATGAAACGTAAAAGCTTCCGCGCTTCGCGCGGGAGGGGGGGGGGAAACTCAATTCAGGAAAAGGATTAAGAGACGAGAATGGTAAAACGATTCGTCTTCTTCTTCTAATAATTTAATGAACCGTCAAAGCTTACGCGCTACGCGCGGGCAAGGGAAAACTTAATTCAGACAAGGATTAAGAGTCGAGAATGGTACAAAGAATCGTCTCCTTTCCCTTATAATTTAATGAAACGTCAAAGCTTCCGCGCTTCGCGCGAGAGGGGGGGGGGGAACTCAATTCAGGACAAGGATAAAGAGTCGATGACGGTACAACGAATCATGTTCTTTCTCTAATAATTTCATTAAACTATGAAAGGCCAAAGCTTCCGTGCTTCGCGCGGGAGGGGGAAAACTGAATTCAGACAAGGAATACGAGTCGGGAATGGTACAACAAATCGTCTTCTTTCTCTAATAATTAATGAAAGGTCAAAGCTTCCGCGCTTCGCGCGTAATGGGGGGGGGGGGGGGAGGGGACAGCGAGCCACCCGAATATGAGTTTTTGATATCTTTTCTCGTTTATTTTGGTGATAAATAACACTTTCACAAAATGCTCAAATTGTTGCTCGCTAGCTTCGCTCACTATAGCCGAATTGTGAAACCAGAAAATTACTCTTTCGGATAAGAGGCTATAGCCCCCCCCCCCCCCCCCCCCCGATGAAAATGTCAAAAATTGTACCGTTATGGTGCTTAATATGACCTTGAAAAAACTGTCGGCGCAATTTTTAAATTTCCGGCCCCCCCCCCCCCCCCCTATTGGAAAATCCTGGATCCGCGCCTGGGGGTGGGCGGTAGTGAGCACTTTTTTTGTTGTTGGTCCTCAACAATTTGAAAAATTGCCCCCCTCCTAGATCATCACCGCCGATTTTGAATAAAAAGATAGCTTACTCTGAATCGTTCCAGATGGTAGTGCTACGCGCGGGGTAATTGCAAGGAAGAATAGTAAGGGAGGGGATCCGATTGGACCTTTTAAAATAGTATTAATGGATTTGAGAGATAAAGACGCAAGAAATTTTGATAATTTTCTTCAAAAACGGCTTAATTATAAAGAGCAGAATATTGTAAATAATGAGCACAGATGTGCGCGTGCCGTGCACAATAACGCAAATTCGTACTACAATTATCAGGGGAGTATTTTATCTGTAACTGTACGTTCTTAGACAGCACTACCAATTTATGATAAATGGAAGTTCAGTGGAAGACAATACCGGTGCTCCACTAGTTGGATTTTTGTGTTAATTCGTTGAAGTTTTCTGAAGTGAATGATCATCCGTTAACAAGCATAAGAACTGCACGGTATGTATATGTTGTTCACATGAGATATTGTTGAATTATGGGAAATATCATCATAAGATAGACGTACATTACTAGATTTTATTTTTAAAGACTATTTTTTTGTGAAGGTATCGTGCATGCTGCAGTCACGCGCGGCACACGCTATCGAACAGCGGTATGGAGCTGGCCCTTTCCAGGCGGGCGCTAATGCATTACTGGTCTCGCTAGGGCTTCGTGTAGCTAGCAGCCAGCTCCGTTGTGCGTTTCATAGACCTTGGTCTTTGCCTTGATCGAGCCGCTCACGCAGTTCAGCTAGCTACTGGTAACAACGTATCTGGGCTTACTACAAATAGATCTTAGTCCTTAGATAAGAGACATTAATTATGATTGAATAGATCCACAGAAAACCCTAAGATATAGTAAGAGATTGCTACTGTACAGAAAATTTATATTTTTAAACTATTAAAAGTAGATCTAGGCCTAAGGCATTTTCTCTGTGACATCGTAATGAAATTGTGTGTGTGTTGGCTTACAGTAGGCCTGTCCCCCCCCCTCCCACTCCGGGAAGGGGCCTTGGGGGGAGGGGGGTAACTCCAGGAAGCTCCAACATTAGCGCCGCAGGCGTCGGAGCTTCAGGTCGGTTGGCGTGGGGCTAGTAAAACGGCCGATTGGGCGATATTATTGTTAAATCTGCAAAGGGAGTATCTACTTACAATTTTTACATCATAGGGTGCACGACTCCTCAGGGCTCAACTCCAATCACTTGAATTCATAATTTGAAAAAGTCTTGGATGGGAAAAAAAGGGTTATTCCGAGTACTACACCAACGATTTTCCATGTCGCAGCGTCGATTCAAAATAGCGAAGAGAAGGTACGCATGCGCGGCAGTGGCGCAGAAAATATGAATACGCACGACTCGAACAAACAAGCGGTGAATAGTCATGCATATTCAGCAAAGGGGGGGGGGGGGCGTTGTGATGGGATCATGGGGTCTTTTTGTTTGAGAGTTTCGGCGGAATATACCCCTCCCCCACCCCCCCCCCCCCCACCTTTTAGCTTTTCTATCCTTGATAACCTCTGTTGCGTGCATGTCAAAATTCAACAAATAAAAAATTATAGTAAACACGTCCAAAGATTTTGTGTTAAAGGCACACTGCCATACTTGTAGGTACTTGCTCCCTCTATACAGAAAACTTCCCCAATCGGTGCCTGTTGGTCCCCCATGATCTTCTTTTTCTTATGTTAAATGAGAGCTGAGTTAATGAGATAGCCACCTGTCACAGTGACCTCGATGGCTCTCTGTGTGGTCTAATCCCTTCTTGCCCAGTAGTGGTGACGGTCTTTAAAACTTAAAGTGCAAGTCTAAATTCAGTCAATCTGACCTACAATTTATTATCAAATTCCAATGGTTTCAAACTTTCAATTGTTCTTTTTATACAAGGTTTGCATCAAACAATATTCTTGACTTCAAACCCAGGTTGCACTTCAGGACTTTCAAAAAAAATTCTTTACAAATTATTTTACAAGAAGTTACAAGTAGCCTATTTCAGATTTAATAAGGTCAAATTACACTTAAGATAGAGCTGAAGATCATAGGTACATAGTGTACATGTACATTTGAATAATCATAAAAGTGACTTTGACAATGTGTAGCTCGACCTGAAGGTGACTTTCATATTGCAGTTTATTGTCTTTACTGATCTGCATGTCTGTTGGAGAGAATTTGATTATGACTGTGTGTTTATGGATTATGCAATGATGCAATCACATGTGGACCTTGCATGCTGGAGACAAGACATGTAGAGAGTATTTTCAGGGACAAAAGGATTTAAAATTAAACCGTTTTTTTTTTTTTTTTTTTTTTTTTTTTTACAACTTGCCGACACCATTGCACCAGATTCAGCTACGTTATGTGTAAGAAATGCATACGCTCCTAGCATGATATACATATACAAATGCAAGGACAACACCTACCCCTTCAATTCTCAGATAGTACTGTTTGAATCCCACATTTTTGTACTCTCCCAATTTCTTGTGTTTTAAAAAATGTGATTCCTGCCAATGTTACTGTGTATTTATCTCTCAGTAATTCTTTATTGATTTAAGAGCTGAAATCAATACATGCATGGAGTACATGTAGGCACATGTTCATAAAGAGACAAAATTTGTATCCGGAGAATGAGTACATGTACATGACTAGTCACGGTACATGTACATGTAGATGTCATTGGCTGAATCTAGAAATACTATCCTTTTGAAGATCAGTGCAGCATATAATTTTGTTGTTGTTGTAAATTGTGAATGTGTTACTTTCAGATTTAGAATTGTCAATGTCAGATATACATGTATGCATTAAAAAACTGTTGCATCATCATTTTTGTTAGGCAAGGTTAACATACACCTCTTAAGTCTTGAGTCAAGACTAACTGTGTCTGCCATGTACAGTAGGTGTTTGTTTTTAAAACTACATTAGTAAGCAATAATTAATTGGTGTACCGGTAGATCAGCAACAGTTGAGTAATATGGTCACTGACTTGACCCGATGTAAGTCCACTTGCAAGAGTTTCATAACTCGAAAGCAGTCGCCTTTGCCTGATTGCTAGTCATCACTTATCAATTCTTTTTGAAAGCTTCAGCCCTCTTTGAGACTTTGAGAATCTCTCACCTTTGCCTGATTGCTAGTCATCACTTTGGGTCATCACTCATCAATTCTTTTTGAAAGCTTCAGCCCTCTTTGAGACTTTGAGAATCTCTCATCTGTGCATACTGCAGTTCTTTCCTGCATGTGGTTGCTACAGTGTACCAGTTGGCTTCATCAAACCGAATCATTTGACTCATTGTTCAGACTTGAGTTTGCTTATTGAGCTCATACGTACATTGTATACCTTGCTGATTAGTGATACAACAGTTTTGCACTCCAAAATGGGAAGAAAAATGGGTTTAAAACTCAAGAGTAGAGAAGGCAAGAAGGTCCAAATATTGAGCAGTTCAAAGGTTGAACTTGAATGCAATGATCTCTGCAATAATAATAATGTAAGTGTATTTCTTTTTTCCTTTTCCCCATCTCCATAAATTGTTCAACAAATCCCACTTATAAAAATGGATGACAATCCACACATATCTCTAGTGGGCATTTCTTCATCAAAAATGAAATTGTAAATCTATTCACATAAAATGCATGATGTATTCTTCTTTTGATGAAACATGGAAATCAAAAAGATAATGAGCATCTTCTCCTATTGAATCCATCATTCATTCAGGGACCTGGCGCAATGGACATGCAGCAATTGGAAGAAGTTTATAAGACTTGGGAGAAGAAGATGCCTTCCACCTTGCCTCCCCCTCCTCCTGCTAGGAGACCAAGAGACAGAGGCAACAACGAGTGTCAGCCTCAGAGAAGAAAAAGAAGGGGACGAACTACATCTTTGCCAGCATTGGTAAGCAACTGTATATTATTATTATTACTTATACCGCGCTTTTCCCATAAGACCCAAATAATAATGAGGCCCAAATGTTTAGGTTTACCAGTAGATATATTTGTCAAAGGGTGGGGTGATAGGGGTGGGGCTGGGAAGCAAAAATTAAGAATAAAATGACACTGGAGAGCTAATAAGAGCTGTTGCATACTTTGAAAAATCTTATAAAACAATTAAATTGAATGAAGTATGTTCATCTTTGCCAAGTAGAGATGTTGTGGTTTAGTGGATACATCGTCAGACTGTCCCGCTGCTGCACTGATGTCCTTTGGCAAGACATTAATACATACTTGCATCTCTCCACCTACGTGCTAAATGGGTACTGGTAGAACCTTGAATGATGTGAGCACCGAAAACGTGGTCATGTTAAATATGTGTGCTATAAAGTATCCAATATTATTATCATTAGAAGTAGTAGACTCATAATATTAATATTGCAGATATTGCAGACATTGGTATTAAGCAATGCAATGATCAAAGAGAGCTTTTTAAGGATCTCATAAAGCAATAAAGTGAAGCAAACAGCGTCCCTGCAAATATTGGTATTGTATTTGATTGTCGAAGGGGGAGGGGGAAGCAGAAAATATGAAAAATAGGAATGATAAAGATAAACTATGGAACTCTCTAAAACTCTAACAGAGCTACATGTATGGACGATCTCATGGAATAAAGAAACAAAATAAACTGCATCCTTTCCGGAAAATGTTAAGTGATGTTTTTTTTCATATATATTGAAAGATTATCGTGGCGGTGGTGGGGCAGGGGGAGAAGAACAAAAAAAAACTAGATTAGAAATTTAGAATGGTGAATAATAGAACTTTTGGAAGCTCCAAAAAGAGTTGTAAAACCTTATACATTGTGTGTACAGTGTACATGTAGATATCATAAAACTAAATAATGAAACAAAATGAAATCTTGGCAATATTTAAAAGCAACGCTATTTTATGATCATATTGCTGAGCCACTGCACGATATTTATAGTAAATTTCTTGCATCAGGAGTAGTCCAAGTCTCCAATACAAAGTGGCCAAAGATGTTCCATTACACAAAAAAAGGGCCAGCTGATTCCATTGAAAATAATGGACCCATTGCCATTTATCCATTTTTACAAAATTTCTCAAAAAAATGATGTTTAAACAACTTCATAATTTATTATCAAAACATACATGTAATTCCTTAGATCCTGAGTAATTTGGTTTAAAAAACCCATTCCATTTCTTTTATACATGATCTGATACAGTACATATATCTTACTGATTTTACATGTATATCACAAGAATTGGATCATATATTAATTAAAAAATTATATCATTCTGGTATATCCCTTGATTGGTTCAAAAGTTATTTAATCGCAACACTATGATATGATCGATGGTATACAATCCAACTATTTATATTTTATATAGATGGTGTTCTTCAAGGGTCTGTGCTTGGGCTATTGTTAATTTTGGTGTACACTGTATAATATATTTTCTTCAGGTACTTTAAAATTGTCATTAGAAACTTTAAGATTTGCACGACCACAACGTGGATTGCTACTTGTGACATATTTTTAAGGCACTGCCAGTGCCTTAGAAGGAAGTCACACGTGACTACCAGTGCCTTTTAAAAAGGACGTCACACGTAGCAGTTCACGTCAATCTAAAAGTCCCTATCGTTTGCTGATGATACAACTGTTATTTTTTCACATAAAGATATAAATTTATTTGTCTCCAATATGAAATCAGAGTTTATTAAATTAAGTGAATAGTGTCTAGACTGTAATAAGTTGTTCCTTAACTTCATGAATCACTCACATTACTCATATCATATTTGCTCTAAAATTTGAAGAGGTGTTGATATCCTGTCACACTTCAAAAAAGTTTTACCAAAGTGTGTTTTATGTGTGTTGTACGTAATACAGTGTACATGCTGATAAGTGTTTTTGTGTGAACAAGGTTTTACAAGGTTCCTCCTTATATTTGCTTTATTTGGGGTCCTTTCAACGTATTATTTTGTAGGTATTCATCATTGAAAATTTGAAATTGAATTGTATCAAATTGAATGTATTGGATTGTGGGGGAGAGGCACAGTATAAAAAGAGAAAAACCTATATTGTGAATGACAGAATGAGACAACACTGTTAGCTCCAGCTGTGGAAAATTATCTAGACTGTGAAGTGTGAAATGGAAAAATTGGCTGCAAGGAGATCACACTTTCATCTCACCTAATTCCAAAGAACTCCCTGGAATAGGGAAGTACATATATTTACATATTATTATTTTTTTTTTTTTTTTTTTTTTTTTTTTTGAGGGGGGGAGGGGGGGGGGGCAGAAGGTACCTAGATATTAATGTATGTGTTACATCAGATTTAGTCACGTTTGTTTCATGTCTGCCGCCGGATGGATGGTAAACTGATACTGGTCCACGTACAGGGGTTTTGTACAGGGTGTACATGTAATTCTGAAGAATACACACAGATTTTAAAACATATATATATATAACAATCTAACGTACATAGTGACTTGACTGACTTCAACTTTATACTGTATAGTTCAGTGTTTCCATGAAAACCTGCCAATTATGCAGTCCTACATGTTTGTCTACTCTCAGTCTTGTCCTCCAAATTCTGAGAAAGATCCAGCTTATTGCTGCTTAGGATGGCATAATAATTGACTTTGCATATTTTCTGGTATATATTTCTCTTGTCTGCCAATGTGGTGCGTTATCAGATAAGTTTTCAATGACTGCTGTAATTAATTAATTGAATACCCTTGAATGACAAAAAAAAATCTATATAGTTTCAGTCTACCCATATGTATAGTAAAGTTTGTCTACCGGTAATAAAATTATCTTTGTTTGTCTTTATACCTGTACATCAGATAGGTGTAAATTAGTAAAGTCTAGAGGGGTCAGTATTTCAGTGTCTGGTCAATTTTGAATGATATCTCAAAGTCAAAATATTCTAAATGCTGAATTGCATATACTACACACTCCAATGACCACAGTCACACAGCTTACTGAACATGTCTACTATCTAACATCAGACTGACAATAAATCAAACAAAAGATTAAATTGCCCTGAATGGCCAGGATTTCATTATTCATTGACTGGATTGGAGTTGCAGTGTGACTGGGTTTGATAGTTGGCGCAATTCTCTGAAAAATTCTGCTGGTGTACATCGAATTCACTTTTCATGAAGCCTACATTGTAGATAGATGTTAATGTTTTAGTCAGAATTACTTGTACTTGTACATTACACCCTTTTTCCAAATTGATTTCATGGCATTTTTTTTTCTATATAAGTTTAGGGCTCAGATTAAAAGTCTTTCATTCCATTGACAGTTGGGCCCTACATTCCATTTAGTATGGATGCTGGCTTTTGATATACGGTACTGTAGCATCACCTCAGACATTTATAGTTGACTGTTCAGTGTTTTCTTTTTCAGTTATTGTTTTATGATTGGAACTTTAATATAAATTTACTAAAGTTTCTTCTCAGTCAGTATCATTTTTTTCTCAGAACATAGAAATGCAAGTCTCACATGTGTTGTGGACACTGGACATGTAGTCATGTGACCAATTACATACCCATGCATCTACTTCATTTGCATAATGTGTCCATGGCCAATTGAATGCTTGTCCTTCTGGGCGATTGATGAACAAATAATACAAGTTTGTTGGTCAGTGACCAAACTGTCTGGGTCTTTCATGTGGCCTCTTTTATTTTATTTTATTAAAAAAAATATATATAATATACATGTAGAAGAATCATTCTATTCTGCTAGATAAAAACCTAACAATTGCAAAAATATTTTGTGCTGACGCTACATGTACATTGTAACTACTGTTTGAATGCAAACAATTGATTCCACTTTGATTGGAAGCAGACAGGCGAGGAAGATGAAGTACATCCTCATTCACAAATACATTTTGTTGGTTTGATAGTTTTTTGAAGGTGACCTTTACATACTTAGGGACAGTGTTCCCAGTTCTACCCAAGTCAGTAGACATTCATCAGAGTTGACAATTTTTGAAGTTCAAACAGTGCTTTATGAATTGATGGATACTGCTATGTATGTACTGTACATATACAGGTGTGTACACATGTACATGAACTTGGAGATGTGACAGGTTATCATATTTTCTTCTTCTTGTGATTTGAAATTATACTTTTTGGCAGTAAAATGATTTCTGATTTAAATGTAAACCAAGAATGGAGTAGTTTAGATATGGGAATAATAACAAAAAGAAAAAGAAAATAATTGCAATCATGAAAAACTGATATGGGCTTATCCATGATCACTTGAAGATCCATTTCTTCTAATCAAAGATGATTTATTGTATAGCGCTCCTTCAAATCGTACACTGTACTCACACCAATTTTTCCGTGACACATTGTGTCATTTGTGACATCAATACTGCAGTTACTGCTAAATGTTAAAAATTAGCATTAACAATGGAACAATGTTTAATGTGAAAAGCTACATGTATGAGCATTTTAAGGTTTTCCAAAATATTAATTAGGATACATGTTCACGTACACGTACAAGTTTTACGATGTGCATCCATGGGGAGTTCATGTACGTGTAAAATACACATTCTTAGGTTGAATTGTGGTAGGGTTTGATAAACAGACTCAGTCATAAGTGGGTAAGATTTAACCACTTCCTTCATTACTCACTGTCACCTTCTAGAGTTAGACCCACAATCTCTTTATCAAACTCATACGTACTCATGAACTCTAACCTGTATGCAGGGCTGGCTGCACACTAAATATGTTTGCAAGTGTCTAAGTTTTATTGAACTTTTTACAATCACTATACATGAGCCCCATGTAATAATTTCTAAATTGGGGGGGGGGGGGTCCATACTTGGATATCTGGCACCCATTCGTCTTTGGCGCCTGTTAGTGTCAAGCCTTGTTTTATGATGTATGCAAGAGGTAAGACAGGGAGCAGAGAGAGAAGAGGTTTGGGGAGGGGAGGGATTGAGAGAGAGAGAGATGGAGAGAGAAAGAGAGAGAGAGAGAGAGGAAGGGGGGGGGGCACAGAGAGAAGAAATTGGGGTGGGGGTGGGTCAGAAAGAAGTAGGGACAGAGACAGACAGATAGAGACAGACGGAGATAGAAACAGAAGGGAAAAAGAAAAGAAAATGAGGGAAACCAGGCATTGTTGTTTTGTTTTATTGTGTGATTCAAATCACCTTTACAGTGGTTTATGAAGTGTTCTATGAAGAAAAGAATTGTACAATGTACATGTACCGTACATGGATATGGAGGATCATCAATCATTCTGAATGGCAATCACAGATGTACATGTAGTTATGATGGACATGAAACCTGGGAAAGTTATCTGAAAGTGCATTGACCTTGGATAACTGGATCATGAGGAGTTGGAAGTGTTAGCCTATCAATTCAGACCTCTGTTATCATAACATCAGCGACCCTTGTTATCATAACGTTAGCCTATCTCATAGTTTTCAGACCCTTGTTATCATAATGTTAGCCTATCAATTCAGGCACTTGTTACAGAAGTATATACATGTAGTATGTAATACTACATGTAGAGAACAGAATTTTACATTTTATTGTACAAAAAGTCGTTTTCCACAATGACTGTGTACAATGTTAGAACACTACATAAATTAAGTGTCCATAAATCAGGGAACTTTGCTTTACACCAGCACTAGAAAACCAGAAAGGAAAAAAAAGGGGAAAAAAAGGAAAATGAAGTAAACGCAACCACAGAACAAACAGGTTCATGTGGGATAAGATTGGATAACTTTTGTCACTACCGGTGAGCCTAGAATAGAGACCAGTGCTCATCAATGAAAAGTTTGTTCAGAGGAAGTTTAACAGGAGAGCATGCTCACAGTCATAAACAAGTTGATTGTCAATTCAACAATTGACGGAAATTGTGACCAAACATGTAACCATTAAAAGTAGGACACATACATACATGTAAGTAGTTCAGGATGAACAAAAACAGAAGGCCTTTTTTTTGTTGAAATAATAAATTTAGTTGAATGTTAGCCTCATAACATACAGGTATGAAAAACATTTCTTGCAAATTTGTAATTTAATGTATTATAGTTGAATTTTTTCAGTTGAAAATGAATTGTAGGTATACTGTATTATTGATTCTTCTTTATGTGGTTCAGATACGGCTCACAGTCATTGCTTCTTTTTTTTTTTTTTTACAGATTAAGAGTTCATCAGGATTATTTGCTTTAAAGTCCGAACTAAGCAAACAATAACAACCATTGTCCACCTCATAGATTCTGTGAAGTGTTTTGATCAAAGTTCTTCTTCGTGGAGATGTTTTCATTCTAGTTTGTATTTTGTTCATCTATAAATTTACCTGTTGACTTGAGTTCTTTGTACATGTACAGGTGTTATTATGTTATTTGTTTCACTGTACAACTTTCTTGTGTGTATTTAGGGGGGTCAATGCTCTGTCTCTCCTGAATCATGTCAACTCTTACATGTATGTGTTAATGAATGATTATGAAATACCGGTACCAGGATTCAAATTTCAAATGAAATCTTTGGTACTGTGCCAGTATTGTGACGGAATTCTCAAAATTTGCAAATATTTGTTTGGTGGTATGTACCTACTGAACAAGCTACTTGACTCTGTTGACAAGTTAAAGATCAGATGGTACAATTTTTGTGAACCAAGATGAACTTGATATGAAGTAGATATTAATACCTTTTGATTGTCATTAATATGCCTTTACTTCATTCTAATATATACATGCAATCAGTGTAACTTAAAGAAGAAAAAAGATTGTGTGTACCAATTCGTTCATCTATAGATTTACTTTTTAAGAAAGAAGTGCATTTGTCAGAAATTAAGAATGCAATGTGTTTGCTGCATATATGGAGAATGGGGATGGGTTGGTACTGTAGGCATGCAAAGTGATGGAAGTTTTTCTTGATTGTTGTTTGCATTTGCAATACAAAGTAGTATTGAAGTGTAATGATAATGTTTTTCACTTTTTTAATATTTCTTTTCCCTTTTTATTTCTTTGTCTCACTCTAACCTTTACTTATACCATTTTCTCTTCTTTCTCATCTTTATTTTCTCTTTCGTTTTTCCATCTCTCTTGCCCCTTCTCTCTCTCCACTCCTATTCTCTCTTGTCTCTTTCTTACTTGCTGATTACTCCCTATCCTTCTCTATCTCTCCCCTCTCTCTCCTTGCATCGTCTTTCTCTCCCTCCTCCTATCTCATCTCACAGGACTTGGTACCAGAGCTTGCCCAGTTCAAGATGTCCCCTCCACCCCAGACCGTGGATGGCTCATCAGATATCAAGCGTCCATTCATTGGCCGGTGCTGTACACAGTGCACACAACTCAGCAGGGTAAGAATACTAAATTAATTCCAGTAGTGAGTGATAGAAAAATCTGCTTTCTTATTTTTTGTTGCTACAGACTTGAATTGTACCTGATCAGTCAGTCCGCAAGCCCGAAAAAACACGTCTAGTTTATCCCAGTCCTCGCGAGCGTGACCCGATTTGACCTCAGAAGTCGCAAATGAAGACTCGTTTTGAAATGATCGTAGCTCCGTTATAAAATGAGATTTTGAAATGATTGTTTTTGTTTTGAAGAGATAAAAGGTAAAATCACGGAAATATCATCTTTATTTTTTCGAAAAAGAGGGAAAAAAATATGAAATCAGTAGTTAGAACGTTGAGTATTTTTTTGAAATTTTAAGTTTTGATTTTCGTCTTAAATTCCACAATTTCTCCCGAAGGCACCAAAAGTAGCTACAAATTATGAAAGGAAATTTATTAAGCTTTGAAAATATGGTAAAATCATAACTTGACGACTTGTAGATGGGTCAGCAGCCAGCTAAAGACATACCGATGTCGATTTTACTTTTGGAGTGGAAGTCGCACACATCGTTCGTACACTCCGACCCTCTGTTCGTACAAAATGGCGTCATTTCACATTTTTCACTCTTCGTATTTGCCCACAAAACGTCCTCTAATCCTTACAATTAGGGTAGATTCCCCTTAAATTATTATGGATACGATCAATTCTTAATAATCTCGAATTATATTTACACAAGTGCGATAATAAGTCGTCATTCCTTGTTCCTAAATTTATTTCGGTCCCATGTGTGTAATTTCGTGTATGTATTATCTCTGCCCATTGTTCTACGTTCACCTACACGTCGCTCATATTTGTCTTGCACTCTCACTTCCCTTAAAAAAACTCTCCCTCTTTCTCTCTCTCTCTCCCTTTTAAATCTCCCTCTCTCTCTCTCCCTTTTATACATATATATTTCTCTTTTTATCTCCCACTCTCTCACGGCCTCAAGTAACTGTTACTACTACAGCGAAACAAGCAAAGTCAACGACTAAATTAAGTAATAAAAATATAAATTCATGTACATCCTTTTTGATTTTGATTTTGAGTTTGAATTTTTATTAACAAAAACAAATAAATCAACATAATGTATCATGTATGATTACATGAAATATAACAATATAGCACAAGATAAATAATATTACACATGAATAAGATAAAAAAAAAACATTGGTTTACAAAGTATGTTATATATATAGATGAAATGAAAGACATACTTATTAAGTGAACCAAGTTTCATGGCAAGGTCAATAAAAACAACTTTAACTTTAAGTTCCATGTACACCTCAACTTGCATAATGGTACCCTGTAGTACGTGAAAGAACAAATATCTCTCACAAGCCTTCCTCTGCATAGCTTGAGAAAAAATATCAACATGTATATCGTTTTTAAAAAAGGAGGTAAGTAGTATTGTAACTTTGTACGGTACATCTATAATAATAATAATAATACTCATCTATTGCCTCAAACCGTCATGTTCAAGGTACATACATGTTCATACTTTTCTGTTGAAAACGTGATAAAATATAATAGCTTCATCGAAACAGAGAGTTGTATAAACACTTTGAAGGTGTTTATACAGTAAACAAATTGAAGCACTTGTTTGTTTGGCAAGGTTTCATATGTGATAAAAATAAGTTTACACTGAGAGCTGCATAAATGTGTTGAAGGTGTATGTACATTATATACATGAAAGGTATTCTTTTTTGGCAAGGTTTCACATACATGAACAAATTTAAGTTCACTGAAACAGAGAGTTGCATACACATTGCGAAGATCTTCATACAGTAAATGTTTCAACAAAATAACTTATTTTATTCTATTGGCAAGGTTTCACACACAGGCTATAAACAAGCTGACCAAAAAGTACTGAGAGCTGTATACATTTTTTGGAGGTGTAAGTACAGTATATATTCTTTTTGGCACGGTTTCACACACATGAAAATAAGTTAATCAGTACTGGCAGCTGTATACAAATTTTGAAGGTGTACATATGTAGTTAACCTTTAAAAGCCAACTAATATTTTTACAATAAAAACATTGGAAAAACATGAAGGCATATACCATGTTCATGTATAAATGTTTACCTAAGATCGTTCTGATGCTTAGCTGGCAACTAAACACACTAGAAAGTGCATGTACTAGATAGTTTTAAATGAATACATAATAAAATCGATACTAACACAGGAATACATATATATTGATCAATGATCATCTTCAAACTGTGAAATGCACCCTGGCACATCAATCACAACGATATCCTTCCTGAAGCTACTAAACATAACCAAACATGTATATTCTATACGTAAAATGTTTACAAAAACAATTTTAAACAAAAATCCTTAGTTCTCATCGGATTTGCTCTGTGATAGACTATGTACATAATATTAGAAATATTTCAAAGATATGAAAGCTGCATCTTCAAATATTTTTAAACAGGAAACAACTTTGGTGAAGGCCCGATACCCAAGAGCATAATTATAAAGGATACCTGGTACATGTAGTTCTCATCGATATCAAACTACCGGTAATTCTTCGTCTGATTCGATATCTGAAAATTCTTCATCAGAGGAGAACAAAATTTCAAATTCAAGAGCCTCATCTACATTATTGACAACTTCTTCATCCTCATCATCTGAAGAGATATCTCCTTCCTCTTCTGACGAGTCGCTGTTACAAGAAATATCTAAAGGTTCACATACTTCTGGTTGGGATCTTTCTAACACATTTGAACAATCATTGCATCGACAGCCTGGGCCACATAACTTGCCATTTTTTCTACATTTACATCTTTTATTTACACATTTGTTTTTTTTACATGCACATCCCCTTGTTAAAAAGGCTACATTGTTCCGAATTTCTGTCATATTTTCTTCAGAGTCCCACATAATCTCTATAATTGGAACATTATTGTCAAATGTTACTACATAACCATGTGAAACCAAATCAGGGTATTGAAACTGGGGAGTGGTACACAAACTCCACACTGTGCTAACCCAACATGACCTTAACCAATGGTATTGAAGAGCAGTATTTGAAGGAAGCAACTCATCTTCATAGCATCCTAGCCATGAAGCCTTCCTAACTTTATCAAGTGCATTTTCATGCTGTTCTCTTTCTGTCTCTCCATTAACACTTGCAAATAATTGAACTGGCGAGTCATACTGGTGAAGACAAGCCCTCTTGGCTTTAAAATAAACACAAAGAATTAGCCTATAGAATGAGAGGAGACCCAAGTCACTATTTCCATTAACAGTGCTACAAGATAAATTGCCGATATTAAAGGGAGTATTTTCTCCTGAAATGAAAGATGCATATTGAAAGAATACATTCATAAACTTACTTTTGCCCAAATGTGCAAAGTATGATACAAAGTCACACCCAGAGCATATATATAACATTTGGATACACTTCAAAACATCAATATTTTGGGAAATAATTGCAGACAAATCAGAATCTGCCTTTATAGCATCTTGCAACATGTTCACATTTAAATATTTCTCTTCCCCAACCTTAGCGTTATATTGTATACAGACCGTCTTATCTGAAAAGTTCAATGGTAGGCTAACAACGCCAACATCCCTATCGATAGAATAAATTAACACATGACTACAAGGAGTATCATACACATGAAGAAAGATTTGTGTGTCACTCTCTTCATGGTTATGTACAAGAGAATGGTTCTCAACCCCCTTACTGGTTACAACAACACCTGACCACCCTGGCGACGACTGTAGCCCAACATGAAATCCCCCAGAAGTAATAAAAATTTGGTCATCTTGCAAATGACTTTTAACAATGTCTACAATTTTCCTTGACAGGTATCGAATGAGTGCATGTTTGTTTTTGCGTATATGTAAAAATTTTGACCAATTCTGAGGAAGAGGAGTATCATCAACTACCTCATCCACTGTAGAGTCAGAGTCTTCATCCCCTTGATCCCTTCTTGATCTTTCAATACATTTTGGTGATATCCCTTGTGTATCAAACTGGTCAAATAAAATTCTTACATCTCTGAAACCTTTTTTGAAACGAGTCAAAACCCAAATATCAACAATAAAAGATGCATACTCATTAAATGTTCTATAATGTTTAAGTGGTGATGTATAAATTATATTCATTCCTTCTGCTATGAGACATGCCCCCTTTTGGGTAATGGTTGGACTACTAGATACTATATTATAATTACTTCCATATCGTTTATCAAAAATATTATACATTACATATTTGGCACCTTTCTGAGGTAGATTGCTACGATCACAAATAGCTCGAGGTTTTTCAATAAATTGACAAAGAGTACTTATTGGTTGATTTCTTTCTTGTGAGGAAGCCATCAAGCGCTTGCAACAGAGAGTAACCATTTTCACTTCCTTCTGGTAGCTTGAAAGCTTTCTACGTGTGACTTTAGGTTTAGCAAATGTTTTCAAATTATGCTTCCTTAAAACAGGTTTTTCCACACTAGTGTCTTTAAGTATTTGGAACTTACAAAAATAAGAGTAAGCATCCTGACCTATCTGTCTGTATGAGAGTAGACTTGTTTCTTGATCCTTGGAAGCAGGAACTCTAGTAAAGACATGGCACAATCCTGAATCCTGATCTGGCAAAAACATACTACTCTCCAAAAGCTTACCAAGGTACAATTTAACATTTGAAAATTCAGATTTAATGACTGACGGAGAAAGATCTCTGTGAAGTACAGACTTTGAAGGATTTAAAAATTCTAACTGTTCCTCAAAATGAGTAATTAATTTTGCTTGGTACTGTATTGTACCAGCAATTTTTTCCATATTTTTGGGAAGGCTTCTACAAAGGGCCATCTTACAATGTTTGTTAATTAACATTTCATGCGCCTCGTCCAAAGCTACTGATGAAAAATTCATGCCTTTTATGCTGGACACAAATGCGCCATTTCTAAAATGAACTAGAATATGTTCAGGTAACGCTTCCATCATACTCAAATGGATTGGAATCATTTTAGAATAATTTTGCCTATCACAAGCATGGAATAAGGGGGCAATTTCTTTAAGTGCAGCATTCCTCAATCCCCAATTGCCAGAACGTATAGCTATATACAACTGGATGTATGACATGCAGTCTCTATGAATAAAATCATTCCAAAATTTGAAAGTGTGTAGTTTTTCAGACATCTCAGCACAAAATAACATGAACTCATCCTTCATAGATGTATACATTTCTGAATTCTTAAACTCTTCCTGTGTTTTACCAAAAGTACCAGTATCAAAAGTATCATCATGTATTTCAAATGACTTGATTACAGATTGAATTTTGTCTAAGAACATCTCATTAGAAAAATCACTATTTGATTTTCCATCCCTGTAATTAAGAAAACATTGAAATTGGAACATAAAAAGAGCTTCGTGAACTTGAAGAAGGAATTTATGGGTACGTTTGAAATTTGAGCAACTTGAAAGGCTGTTTAATGTCATGTTTTTGTGTGTTACTTTAGCCAGATCCTTTAACCCCGCATCCCAAAAGATCTTCATCAAGACTTCTTGATAGTTTTTCAATAGATGCCAATCTCCGATGTATGGAATTAACCAATCTAGTGCTGCACCATATTCACGTTTAATATTTAACAACATTTTGAAAGTTGCTCCATCGCCTGCTACAATCAAATGATTGACATTCCTTCCGATTTCGAAAAGATCATACAAAAGTTGAATTGATTTTTGTAAAGTTTGCTTAGTGTCTGCTGGTTCGTCTAATACATATAGATATGAGAACTGGGACTTTTCAGTTGTGGGATTTTGACTATCTAGGAGCATCTTGCATTTAAAACTTGGCAATAATGGTATTGATGGCTCCTCACTTCTTGTACGTGAATATCTTTCTAAGACATAAAGGAACATGTCATTATTAAGAGTATATATCATATTTTTCTCTAGCTCTGAAGGAATAAAAGTTTCCCAAGAAATCTGTGATCGTATATATGTTTTAAATTGCGTTGGTTGAAAATAATCTTTGGTGGGAACATCGAGAGGGTGAGACAGTTTTATCTTTTTTCGAGCGGATGGCTTTTTGGTTCTTGGAATGGATACAGCAGTACTGGTACTTGGAATGGATACAGCAGTACTGGTACTTGGAATGTCTAATCTTTCAAAAGTACTGTGCAAAACTTCACTATCAGGTTTTGGTTGCTGCGCCATGATTGATGTACCATGCCAGCTACGTACTTGGTCTGCAGTCACAGCAGCATGGGATGCAAGAACATCAATATTATCTATACTTACATGTGTAAAAGAATTATTATTAAGTGATGACAAAGATCCATTTGCATCTCTATCATCTTTGACATGCTGTAAAAATCTATCAAGGGTGGATTCTGAACAGCACAAACCTAACCTATTCATTATTTTAAGTAACTTTGAAGAGTGCGACATTCTCTTAACAATATTTGCAATTATAATGTGGAAGGGATAAGTACATGTATCAGTCAATGCAAACTGCAAAATAAAAACTATAACTATCCTTCTGATTGTTCTTTGCATACCATGGGAGGTACTTTCATTGGGAAATCTAATGTGGTCTTTAGTGATGCAAATGGAAGACTGTTTGAAAAAACGCATTTCTTCTAGATTTGAAGTGAGCAAACTCACAATGTTCCAAATAATAGGGTCGAATGATGATACAGCATCTATAAGATTAAAATCAGCTACAGCTAGTGGACTGGATATGAAAGTTTCATTTATATTTTTGGTTTGCTGCTTAAGTCGTTTATTCCCATCACTCAAAAGTGCACCTAAAGAACCTTCCTCATGGATAGCACGTTCACAATCTCGATCTACATATACATCTTCAGAGTTATCATTACCTTTCTTCAATAAATATCTAATTTTTGAATGAGAATTGTGTAGACTACTAATCAGCTGATCATGCTGTATGTTTTTCACATAGAACAAAACTCCTTTCTTTTTTGACATTCTATGAACAGAAAAAAGATTTCCAAAAGTGGTCAGAATTTTGGTCAATAACCATGAACATGTTCTAAAAGCATCATGATATGCATACGAATCTGGTGCAAATTGTTTTTCTAATTCTACAAGAAAGAAGTCATATGCATTTGTCAACAAAAATGCATAATCAGTTTTAGTCCAAGTACAAATCTGTTTGAATGTGTTGTTACATATTTTGTCTAATACTAAGTTAGAACCCGACAATTTTTCTTCATCTAACATTAGCACTCTCTCCATATTTTCCACATCAACTTCAGATACAACACGTCCTGTAAATGAAAATTTGTAACATTGTTTACATACAATATCTTTTTCACCCTCGACAAAGTCAGTATTGATTATTTTCAGTAGGTTTCTATCTATGTTTTTATGATCATACAGGATATATTTCTTTTGTGATGATTTAACTATATAACTACATACAGCACACTTGTTGATCACCTGATAGTTTGACATTTGAGCCCTATGTTTTTGGCAAAATAGAGTAGGCTTGGGAATTTCTTCAAGATTAAGAGAAAAGGCCGAATTAAATTCCTGTAACGATATATCTGATGCCTCAACTGTTGAGACACTGGCACATTCAGATGCGCATGATAAACTACAGAGATCTTTTCTTTCTTTTTTTCTGGTTTTTTGAGGTGTATATGAACTATTTTTTACTTTGGTACTAAATTTTTGTCTACAAGCATTACAAATACAATCTACATCACTTACATTCTCATATTTTTCACGTATTATATTAATTATTGCTTGGGAATCCATATTAATTAGATGACAATACCTTGTTAATCTTTTTTTGTTGCATAAGGCACATGGGCCACATTCTTCCTTCTGGCATGGTCTAGGCTTCACCCCAGCAGAAAGTTGAAACAGGAGTGCTTGTAGAACAGCGTCATCTGGTATGGATGAAAAATAGGGGAATCCCCAGTAGACAGATTGGAGAAATTAAAAGACATACCGGTATATGAAAAAGGAGAAATAATTTCATATTAAAGTATATAAGAATCATTGGTTATGTGTACTTTGCCATTACCGGTTTTGGCAATGCTCTGCCCTTTGATATTAAACAAGCAATATGGAGGAAATCTTGAAGATTTTTTTTTATATCATCACCCGGTCAAATGCATTAAACACCTACAAAAAAATTGTGAAATTAAATGCACTAAAATGTACATCTCTGTAGTGTGTACATGTTCACAATTATACATTATATTTTGTTTGATAACTTCCAAGTTTTGCAAGCAACAGATACTATTTCAACACCAGCAGGTACAAGAAATTAGCTACATACCTTTTTTCTGTCTCTCTTGCGTTTGCTGGCTCTCACGCGGTGTCGCCTCGCCCTCTGCTTTTTTTTTTGTTGAACATACTGTGAATGAGACCTTGGTAATGGTAAATCACTGAAAGAGTAAGAAACTCGAAAAGAAGCGGAGAATACAGAAACATAAGGTATAAGGACTTGAGTCGAAGTATTTGGTCTGTACTGGTTGGGTGGAAGTGGGGGCAGCTCTGGTTCTCTGGCTGTATAACGAGGAATGATGAACCCTTCCTCCAGACGGGGTAGATGCTTCTTCTTCTTCTTCTTTCGCCGACGGTGCCATGACCGTGGCGAGGGTCGAGCAGTTGAAGAAGAAATAGATGAGGTAGAAGTAGTTGCAGAAGCAGATGAGGTAGAAGCAGTTGCAGAAGAAGATGAGGTAGAAGCAGTTGCAGAAGAAGATGAGGTAGAAGCAGTTGAAGGAGCAGATGAAGTAGAAGCAGTTGAAGAAGCAGATGAGGTAGAAGCAGTCGAAGAAGCAGATGTAGAAGTAGATGTAGAAGAAGCAGATGCAGTAGAAGCAGTTGAAGAAGCAGACGACAGAGAAGTAGGTGGAGTAGAAAGAGGCATATTTATCTTCTTCTTTTTTATGCGTCGAGGTGACCACAACTTCTTCAATTCCACTGGAACATACTTGTTACTTGAACGGCGCACAGATATACATGTACATTTAATTATTGCTGACTTAACTTCCTCTGCAAAGATCTTCTTTCCAAAGAAATTGAGGTGCAGTCCATCAAACAAAAATAAGTCACTGTACAAAGAATAGCTTGAAGAAAGATCTACAAAAGCACAGTTAGAGAAAGAAGTAGTGAGAGAATGAAGCTTAAGATTATAGTAAACACTGGCTTCGTACAAAAGCTGAAAATCCCAGCGAGGTAAAATGGCACTAAAAATAATCTTTGAAGTGGGATACTTCTCCCTAACTGTAATGTATAAATCTGTATAGGCACTCCTATCCCAATCCCAAACACTTGAAGACAAATTATTTGTTCCTACGTGGATAAATACAACTTCAATATCGTCAGTAGCTACAATATTCCTTCTGATGTACGATCGCAAGGCCTTAATAGTACAGCCAGGAACACAAAATACTTCAGTCTCCAGTTCCAAATTGTCCTGAAGACCACGAAGAATCGAATCCCCGTATACATGCACTTTCCCCAAAAGTGAAGACGGGTCTTGGGGATACCTGTAATGTCATGATATAAAATAGGAACAAAATTAGAAAAATGCTAAAAATAAAATCTAGCTAAATCTATAGATTATTCCATGGTTGAGTATACAAGTTTTGTCAGTACGCTAGAACAATGCAGGTTAGGGTGAGTGTGGTACTGGTACATGATATATTTACATCTTCGTTGTCATAATAATAATCAACGAAATTGGTTGTGGGAGTTCACGCCAGAAACTTCAGAAAGACAATAGGCCTACCCCTTTTAATAAAAAATAATACAATTGCAAGGTAGTGTAGATTTAGGTCAAATTAGGGGAACATGTTTATGGTCTAAGTCAAAGGAAAATATATTCAGAGAAAGAAATGATTGATATATTATTATTATTAACTCAAAAATTAGATAGGTCTAATACCGGTACTCTTTTTAGGTGAAGTTTGACTCCTTCATTACGTCAAATTGTTCTCAACTGCGTGTGAGTTGTGAGATTTGGTAAATGTCCGGTGCCTGGCTCTGTCCTACAAATTACAATACGAAAATACCGGTAAAACTAAAAAGTACAAACTGCTAGTACAATTTACTACAAATGTAGATCAAGATCCAACTCCAAGTCTAAGTTGAGACAAAGTCTAACGAACCAGGAATGAGACAAAGTCAATTAGGCCTTAATGAAGTTCTAGTTTAATTTTTGCAATGTTGTTAGTCGACTCTAACTAGATTCTAGACATCCAAGTTAAATTAGGCGTTATCAATCCACCCTACTATCTGCACCTCCTGTTAAAACTCGGACATGTATTTTGTAGGGCAAACCAACCAAGTACCAAGTATTAATAAGCCTATGATTTATTAATAATTAATATTTATTAATTCCTTCCTTCCTTGCTTTAAAATCTTTATCAGGTTTAGGCCTATCAATCATGCCTAGACCTATGGAGTTTATCCTTGCAAGGGCAGGCTAAATTTCAACGTCTGTGGTTATAATCAATACCAGGGTTAAACAACATACCCATAAGTCATTTTTACTACCCTTAGCACTTATCGATTTGTAGTATTTCATTTAATTACAACCAAATAGTTCTAGATCTAACATTTTAGAATTTAATAAAACCACCGAACGTGAGATCAAGAGAAACCAACGCAGATTTATACATGTGGGACTGGTTTTTCACCTCCGCACCGATTGCAAACATCAGCGCATTTACGGCCCAAAATAGCTCCTTATCCCCTAAACTCGATCACGTGACCACTCTAGCACCCAAGAAAAACATATTCGCCCTCAAAATAGGCAATTTTTAAGCCTAATTTTGAACAAGTTATAGTTCGAAGGCACCGTCAAATCCGGTGTCTGTGGATAGGCCGAAGTCTGGAGAATACGAAGGAAAAACAATCTAATAATTTGCGTTTTTAGATGGGTCAGCAGCCACTTACAAACTCAGGTATGTTAAAACGAGAAAAATATACTAATGCCACTTCAAGAGACATTTTCAGTGGTAAAAAATACTCATTTTAAACGGGAAAAATACATTTTCAATCACGAGAAATCGGATTCACTACTTACCCTGACATCTCGTTTGAAAAGTGCATGCAAACGGCAGTAATCAAGTCATGACTTCAGCGGTGTATTATCTCGCGAACTGCGAGACCCGAACAAAGTCCGAAAAACGTGCGAGACGACTGGGATAAATCTTGCGCATTTGCTCATTAGCATACGGACTTGCCGACTGACTGTGATTCTATGAGGGTGACCAAGTAATAGGTTAGTTTTGTGCTAAACAAGTTTTTTTAACCTTCAAAAGTGTGACTAACCACTGCTGCTACTAATATTTTTCTCTGTGAACAATGCATGTAAACGAAACAAATTTCCTTTTGGACCAATAAATTTGAATTGAATTGAATTGAATACTACTACTTCTACTTAAATTGTTTAATACACTGTTATCTGTTGTTTACATTGACTTTGTCTGCAACTAATGCTACATGTATGTACAGACTTACATTACAGAGCTACTAAGTGTCATGCATTAGGCGTGACATCACGCATTTTGGGGGTCTGAAAACGTTCTCACGCGCGGCGCGCACGCTAGATTTTGAAAAACAGCTACATGTATACCTTATAACATGTGTTATACCTTCGCCCGCGCACTCGCGCGCCGAACCATGAAAATGTCACACATTCCTGATCTTTGAACTTGGCGTCTCTGACATTAAGATGTGCAGCAATCCCCAGAATGCATTGCAAGATGATTTATTGTTTTAATACATACTACACAATGACAATGTAGTTCAATGTTTCAAGGTAGCTAGCCACAAACATCTGTGTTTCAATGGCATACTGAGTTACTGACGCATATCAATCTCCATCTAGGAGACAGTGTAATATCAATATGATACATACACGTATGATGATTGATTAGCTGTGCTATTTGACCCAGTCACCCCTTGATAACATGGTCAAGTGATGAAAGCATTTCCACTGGACCTATCAGTGCATTCTGAACAAGTGCATGACCTAGCTGTATCAGCTGACCATGAAAGGGGCACTAATCTGAGTAGTACTGGACTAGTGGCATTGACCTACATGTACATGTACATACATGTACATTTCCTCTTTCTGAATTTTAGTTCTCTGTTTCATACTCACCTGCATGTACATTTACATGTATGTCCAACATCAGTCTAAATACATAAGTTTGAAATTGTTTGTATTTCATATAAAAAAAAAATCATTTATTTACGTGTAGGCCTTCATGGTACAACTCAGCAAATGTCCGCATGTACAAATTTACATTGATGACAACTTTTAGTCAAGGCTATCCTTACAGTCTTCACAATTCCATTACTTGTCAACCATGTGAGACACTGGTCCTTACTGGTATTCCTTAACCTGTTGACTCCTGAATTCTTGCATTCCTGCAATCAGTTATACAGGAGCCACCCATTTCAAAGTGAATAGAGACTTTCTGGTACTAAACTTATGTTTTTTTATAACAATAATATCAATAATAGTTTTCTTTATTCAAAGGGGGGGGGGGGATCTGCATATTTGATTATCATCTTTCATGTAGGCAATCATTAATTGACCCTTTGCATGTTTTTATAGCATTTTATATTTTTATAGCCCAATACTGGCATTTTAAAAAAAAATTGATCATTTTCATTCATCAGCAATCGGAATTCGTTATCCGAGTTCACCTGATTGGACGATAATCGGTTACAGGGTTAATTAATGCCTTTTTAAGGACATTATTGCCGTATCGGGATCAAATATCAAGACCTTTGAATTTCCAGTCAAGTGCTTAAACCACTCGACCAAGACACTTCAGCCAAATGACGAGTTAGGCTTGTGCGTGTACATGTATGAGCACCCTGGATGAGGATAATATATAACTTTATTAGTTTATCAAATTGGCAACAGCATTTACAATGTTAACTTTTGAGTTTCATTGCTTACAGTCTAGACATCTAAGGTCGATTGAGAAGATTTATCAAAGTGTAAAACTTTTATTTGATGATGCAAGCAAGATCATTGTAAAGTCAAATTACTTAGCTACTTGTACAGGTGCATGTATGTTTAGGTTGGGATTGGTGATATTGCTGACTTTGACAGTAAACATGAGGCTTGTTGATTATCAGATTATCTTAACCTCATTGCCATTACAATGTACATACATTTAAGTTTTAAGGTCACCTGAAGTAGAAAGAGAGAGAGAGAGAGAGAGAGAAACAGAGAGAAACAGAGAGAGAAACAGAGAGAGAGAGAGCATGAGAGAGCATGAGAGAGAGAGAGAGCATGAGAGCATAACACAGAGAACATAACAAGAATACATTTCTGTTACAATGTTTTACGTATATATACTATAATGTAGATCTCGGTAAATACATTTTTTTTTTTTTACTAACTTCAAAACATATTGTTCACATGTCATGACCTTCAAGACAAGTTTTTTTTATTTTTTAAGAAATATTAGGGCATGTCAAGCTACATGTACATGTACATGTATGTTTGTATATGACATGCCCAAAAACTGAGTTAAAATAGTCGTCATACATAGGAAAGATCATTTGATTCAAACAAACAGCCAAGAAGTTAACACAAAGTTTTGCAGGAGCAAGTGTTGAGTTGTTTTTAGATGAGCAAGAAAGTTATATATCGTAAAATATTTCTTTGTTTAGACTTAAGATGAGATATTTTTGCTCCATACTTACATGGTCCTTTGCTTTGTTGTTGTAGGAAATGTTCTACACTGATGACATACCTCATATGGGTCTGAGGAACATCCTAAAAATGTCGACCCCTCCCAGGTAAGATCTGCATAAACATCATTTTCCGTGGCACTAGGCCAGATTTTTGTCCTTTAACACTAAATGGTCGGGTGGGTAGAATGCACCCCTTGGACATGTGCTGCGATGTTCTTGAGGATTTTTCTTTCGTTTTTTCCTACAAGATTTCATGATGTTATTTAATAACTAGACTTGCATCAAAAGAGAAAAGCGGGGGAAAGATATCTTTATATAGAAGGAAGAAAGATGAAAAAATTACAAAAATTAAGAAAACAGTACAATTGTGATGTGAGTTTCATAAAGGTAAATATTAGTGGAGTAGGGGAAGAAGGAGAATCATTAAATTTAAATTATCTTTGGACAGATGGAAAATCCAACATTGACAAGGAGGGACAAAACAGGGGAATTAATACAGGTGAATTGGTGAAAGATATGTAGACCAATATTTCATTTCAACTATTTCTATATTTGAACTTTTACAGATATCAAAGTTCATTTTCTTCATAAGCAGACCTACTTAACATGTTTTTGATAAATGTTGTTATCTGTCTTCTATTCAGAGCTGGTGTGCTGTTCAGATACTTTCCACACGTTGACCATGCCTTGTTCAGAGCAGTCAACCATTCCTACCCCTCTGTACCAGATGTCTCACAAAGAGTGTTGGAGAACCAAAGGTAAATATTACCTGAAACAAAAACAAAAGTTGATGTAGAAAATAAAACTTTGAAGTTATACTGCAAACAAACAAAGCAAAATACATTAATCAAGATGGGGTCTTTTCAGTATTGGCCATGTCACTGGATTTCGGTGTATTTTCACTCAGCAAGGTTGTATGAATGAATATTGAAGGTAGTATGTATTTGACATTGTCAACTAGTGTTACTTTCATATGCAAAAAGTGAAAGTGGTGCAAAGTCCATGTATGTAAAATCATTTTTGATATATCCTGCCCTCTGGTAGGGGAAGTTGGAGGAAGGGAGAGAGAGAAAAAGAGACAGACAGAGACAGACAGACAGAAAGATAGTGATAGAGAGAAAAGAAGAGAGAGAGAGAGAGAGAAAGATAAAGAGAGAGAAAGAGACAGACAGACAGAAAGATAGAGAGATAAAGAGAGAGACAGACAGAAAGATAGAGAGAGAGAGAGAGAGAGAGAGAGGGGGGAGGGAGAAAAGGGGGAGGGTGATAATGACTTCATGTTTATATTATACTGCTGTGAAATTCCTTGGATATATAAATTGAAACAAATATTTGGATATTCGGATAAATATCTTTTTTAATACTATTGTTCCATTTTTCCCATTTTGTTTTCAGAGTTCAGCTTGCTGTTCATAAAAGTGCAATGTCAGATAGTGAAGGTATGTACCAGGCCTGATCATTACCAGATTTAAATCGGTTTCTGGGTTTATTTTTTTTTATTATTTTCCCCCAATTTTATCCCTGTTTTCCTGAGTTTTCCCTTACTTTCTCTATTTTTCCAGATTTTCCCCCAATTTTCTTACTCAAAAGGGGAGGAATGTTAGGTGCCATTTTTTTCCTCCCTGAATCCTCTTCTTTTTATTTTACTCAAGGGGGTTGAGGGAAAAAGAAAAACTTTTTTTTTTGTAGTGCTCACTATCACCCCTGATGTACACTTATCTTGTAAGGGAAACTACAAGGTACATGTATTTGATTGCAATTACTACTGATTACAATACTGATAATTGTTTAGAGTTTAATACAATGATCTTACATCAATTACAAGCGTCAGCACAATTTATATGATACGGCTTACCATTGTTCAACTAATAACATTCAAATAAATTTTAGGCAATGCATACAATGTATATAGTATACCTATTAGGCTGAATGAGCTTCATTTGAGTTTTAAACTAGATGGAATTTTGACTGCGCGCAGTCGAAAATGATGCCTCCGCCATAGAGCAATTTAAACAAGTTTGGAGTTTAAATCTCCAGTGGTTCTTGAGATATCATGATAACAATCTCAATGTATGGAATTTCATAAGTTGACCTCTGTGACCCTTGACCTTTGACCTACGTGCTCCAAAATCTAATCAGATTGTCTTCCTATGGTGATACACACTATCATTAAGTTTGAAGTTTAAATCTCCAGTGGTTCTTGGAGATATTATGATATGGTGATACATACTATCATTAAGTTTGAAGTGAAAATTCTCCAGTGGTTCTTGAGATATCGCGATAACGATCTCAATGTATGGAATTTCATAAGTTGACCTCTGTGACCCTTGACCTTTGACCTACGTGCTTCAAAATCTAATCAGATTGTCTTCCTATGGTGATACACACTATCATTAAGTTTGAAGTTTAAATCTCCAGTGGTTCTTGAGATATTATGATAACAATCTCAATGTATGGAATTTCATAAGTTGACCTCTGTGACCCTTGACCTTTGACCTACGTGCTCCAAAATCTAAACAGATCGTCTTCCTATGGTGATACATACTATCCTTAAGTTTGAAGTTTAAATCTCAAATGGTTCTTGAGATATCATGATAACAATCTCAATGTTTGAAATTTAATAAGTTGACCTCTATGACCTGTGACCTTTGACCTACGTGCTCCAAAATGTAATCAGATTGTTTTCCTATAGTGATACACACTATCACTAAGTTTGAAGTTTAAATCTCCAGTGGTTCTTGAGATATCATGATAACAATCTCAATGTATGGAATTTCATAAGTTGACCTCTGTGACCCTTGACCTTTGACATACGTGCTCCAAAATCTAATCAGATCGTCTTCCTATGGTGATACATACTATCCTTAAGTTTGAAGTTTAAATCTCAAATGGTTCTTGAGATATCGCGCTAACAAACTCAATACAAGGAATTTCATAAGTTGACCTCTGTGACCTGTGACCTTTGACCTACGTACTCCAAAATCTTATCAGATCGTCTTCCTATGGTGATAAATACTATTCCCGAGTCTTAAGTTTAAATCTTAAATGGTTCTTGAGATATTGTGATAACGGTCAAACGGGACGGACGTACGGACGGACGTACGGACGGACGTACGGACGTACGGACGGACAACCCGAAAACATGATGCCTCCGGCACCACCTTCCGTGGCGGAGGCATAAAAATAGCATTTCCTTTATCTTCGGGATGCAAGTCATTCGACGTATAGCATGAAAATGTGTGGCTTGACATCTGAACGGGGCATATTAAAATAAAAAATTAAAATAAAAACAATATAGAGCATTTATAATGTGCAAACTCTACATGAATATATTTATATATACTTCCTGTTTATCATAGGTCGTATAGACTCGGAGAACGAGTACCAGAGGTCAGCGGAAAGACACAGAAGGAGAGCGATGAATGTCCTGAGACATATGGCAGCAACGATATCAAATTCACTCATCAGGTATGGGTCTATTAAATATACTGGTCATTCATTGTACTCCAAGCCTTGTTCACACGTAAGGCAGTTAACCACCTGGGAAAAAAAACAATGGCAAGACAAACACCATTTTCCATGCATATGAATGGGAATCGATAGAACAAAGGCCTCTACATGCACACTGTGATTTGTGTGTTATCCAGGTTTTTTTTACATGGCATGCACTAGTTACTATAATCAAGAAATCATGTGATTTTTTAAAAAGGCATTTCACCTTGAAATATGATCAATGCTGTACCATGAAGTTCCTATAGTGCGAGAGGAGTGTATATGTGGACACGAAGATCATTGAATGTGTAACATGAGGGTATCTACACCGACAGAAGATAAGGTTTATTTTGGCTGCAAACCAAGCTTTTAAAAAATCCCATTGTGTTGGTATTCGGGTTTAACTTTAAAGAGAAAGTTGAGTTCTGGTCATGCGATTGCATTGTCAAAGAAACAGTATGGTATCGATCAGAAAAGATTGATCATCTAGCATTTATATATTGGTGTGTACTGCAAGGTTCTGGAATCATCAAAATGATAAGAAATTTGGCCCAGTCTTGGTAAAGTTACAAGCACTGTAGGCCTACACGGAAAGATGTATATTGGACTACACGAACATGTGGCGTAAAAATCCGTCCCAACTTTTATCCTGTTACATGCAATATTTAGAATATTAAGGCTTTTGAAGAGCCATGCTTTTTAGGGAACAGTTTTAATCTGATGATAAAGCTCACAAATTATTTTTCACCCCTTCCCAGAACTCAACCTTCTCTTTAAAGGGAAATGAATAACAAATTAGAAAATAAGACTGATATAAATAAAGCAGAGAAACATAAAGACAGGCCCAAAGAATTTATTTTGGCCTTTAGTTCTGATGATTGGTTTTAGAGTAATACTCTTGCTAAGTTCCTCCATGTTATCATGGAAGCCTTCTATTTTTCAATCAATATACGGAATCCTGTCGACTTGAATTCAGATAACATGTAATTCAACACTTTAAAATGCTCCTTGATGCTTTGAACAAGCTTTAAAGGTAAAGACCAGTTTTGGAAACGCCCCCCTCTCAAAAAATGAAATGGAAGCTCTTATTACCAATCATGTGAAAGAATATGTTTTGACTAATATGTGATGGTACAAATTTTGCTGAGAAACCGTCTACTAATTGATTTACTTGGTAAATTATTATATCTATTTGGACCTGATAGATGTCGCGCACATGTCTCGTAGCTCCATATACACCTCTCTGTGTACAGTGCTTTTAACTGTACCAAGACTGGGCCAAATTTCTTATCATTTTGATGATTCCAGAACCTTGCAGTACACACCAAAACTTATATGCTAGATGATCAAACTTTTTTGATTGATTCCACAATGTTTCTTTCACAATGCAATCGCATGACCATAACTGTTCTTTATCTTAAAAATGCATCTAGAGATTTTAAGCATTACAACAATTTGATATGTACTATGACAGCTAGGGTCTTATGGGGAAAATCTCTTTGGTACACACAACCCTGGGGGAGCACTTGTGATGACAAGTTTATAGCGTAATCCATTGTTTAACAGGACCGAATCATGCTGTTTCAGAAGCTTGTTTATTTACTGTGTGATCCCAATCATTGACTCCTTGAATTGTTGTAATTAAAGCATTCAGAGATAGTAGTAATCTAAAGCGTGCATACAGGTAGATTTGAGCTCATCACTTACTGGTATATTTTATTACTTTCATCAATGTAGCAATTATTCTTAGGTTTCTCTTTTTTTTAAGGGAGGAGGGACTAGTCAAATTCCATTGTGAGCATACTAATCAAATTATGCATCATACAACATTGGAATTTAACTTTTGTACAAGTACCTAACAATTTGATGCAAATTTATAGGGCTGATTGTCCCAATTGTCAATACTAATAAGGTAAACTTGTGTGTCCTGCAAATAGACTGTTCACATTATGTGATTTTGTTTGTGGTTTCAATCTCCACTTTACTCTGAAAGTCTCGATCAAATCGTTCAGCCTTAGGCAGGGCCCGACACTAACAAGCGCCCGGGACACATGGGTGCCCAAACTCTAGGTCCGGAACCTCAGAATTGTGTAATTTCTGCTTTGGGGGTGAATGCATAGTGACAACAAAAATGTCGATCCAGACCCCCAACAACCATAGTCAGTGTGGAGCCCTTGCATTAGGCCTGTTTAATGAATGTAAACAGCCGCACAAAATGTTAAAAGATTAAAGCCATATATGTACACAGTACATGAAAAACATTAACAAATCCACACTTTTACAGCATTTCCTAAAAGAGCCTCAGCAAACTTAAGTGTTTTTTACACTGACTAACATACAAATGAGTGAGTAAGTGTACAGGCTTGCTTCTGAAACAGTTGCCATTTTTGACAGTACAATTCAAGCAAACATAAAGTGATTTTAATATGAACACCTTGAAGGGGGGGGGGGGAGGAGGAGGTCAGGATTGAAGTGGTATATTGCCTCATGTGGGAACAAACATGTATAATTTCAAGACACAAATGATATAACCTGCTAAGAGTGAACTTTTAAAGTACTGAAGCAATAATCAGTATAGGTTAGTTTTAATTTGGTGATAACAAGTGTTGATTCCTGACAAGCAAAGTGGATTTTATCAGAGATAAGTTGTTCCATCGTTGACATGTATGGACTCTTTGGAGTAAGATCAATAAGTGTATGTGGTTTTTGAATTCCATGAACAAAGGCTTCAACACTTGTACAACTGGAGCTGTATAACGTTTTGAGCATGAGCATTTTAGGACATTTTCCCCCTTCTTTACTTATACCATTTTATCTTGCCATGTCTTCTCTCCTAGTTTTCTCTATACATTTAGAGGAGTCGTATGTGAGTGGTTTCAAAAACTTGACTTGAAATGCAAAGGTCGTGGGTTCAATCTCTGACATGGCACTAAAGTCCATCGGCAAGGCTTTCTTCTACTGTAGCCACTCCTGACCCAGGAGTGAAATGGGGACCTGGTAGGATGAAAAAAGCATTTGTGTTTAATAGTAATTGCTATATGCCCTCACAGTGACCATATGAGAGGAATACTGCCCAGGGAGTTGTTCTGATTCTTTCAACTTTTCCATTTCATTCTTTCTTTCTGTCTTGCCTTTGTCCCGCTTTTTGCCCCTCTCTCTGTTTATTTCTACTTTTATCAAACTTACTACTGTCCTTTGGCAAGACATTAATCTACATTTGCCACTCTCCACCCTGGTGTTGCAAGTTGCGTGATGGATGGATAAGAATGCTATAAAGTATAAATAGTATTATTGATTTTTCTTTATTCTGGTATTATAGAAGTTTTATAAGCATTTGGTACGTATTAAAGGGAGTGTAGCATGACGAGACTACATGTCTTTCCTGTGGCCTGACTCACGGGCCAATCAGGTATAATACGACTACAGACGACGGGACTGCAGCAATCACGTGCGTGCAACATACACAAAACCAAAGCATGAAGAGAACTTCAGTCTGTTTTGCGAACGCTAGCCAACGCTAGCGCGCAGTTGTCCAATAGAAGAAGTAGATGGCGTTAACCAGTATTTGCCAAGCTACACTCCCTTTAAGCACTCTTGTCCTCTGTATTAATTTTCTCCCCTCCCCCTCTCTTTTACAGGCTTACAGGGTGGTTGCTCCTGAAGATCTTAGGACTGTTCTTGATCGGTGTACAGGTTCATGAGGGTCAGCTCAACATGGTCAGACAAGCAGCAGAGGTCAGTTTGTTAATGTGGAGGTCAACTCTGTCATTGAGTTGATATTGATATGAGTAGAAAAATTGGTCAAAAGTTCTTTCTATATTCAGCAGAAGAGATACTGTTTCAGTTCCCGATGAAAGGAAGAGTGTATGGTTATACAGGAAAAAGAAAGAGAAAAAAAGTTGTCAAGGTTGCTGTTTCCAAACAATTCTGTTCTAAAACAATGGCATGGTGATCACGGAACCAGTAACCTGGACGACGAGCAAATATGACGCTTGCAATGCGGTTTTCTATAGGAGGACAGTACTACTTGCACAGGATGTCCCTGTAAGGATAATGATCTTGTTTGATATTTTCAGAGTGGAGTTCCTGTCATCATAGTCCCTCTCCATCGGAGTCATCTAGACTACATCCTTCTATCCTTCATCTTTCATCTCACTGGTATCAAGCTTCCATTCGTTGCCGCTGGAGACAACCTCAACTTACCGGTCTTTGGGTTAGTATCATTGTTTCTTTTGTATTTAGAATAGCATGCTGATACAGTTATTTATCTTAATTTGTATTAATAAGGCAAATATAATGTACGTACATCAAATCAAATTGTGAGGGATGTGGTAATTATTTATTATTTCTGCTGAACTTTGGAAAAAACTACCCTTACATGTCAAAAACTATCAGACTGTCAACCAATTTAAAACTTTTCTTGAGACACATTTATTCAAAATTGCTTTTGATGATTTACTTATTTTGTTCACATTGATGTATATTTCATATGTATTTTAATTTGTAGATTTATTTGTAATTTTTTGTTTGATATATAATAGTTTGTCATTGTATTTTGTTTGTTATAGCTAGAGGTATATGCTCAAAGACTTAGTTGGAAAGTGCTTTATAAGCACCGTTTATTTTTATTATTAATTACTATTATTATTTCATAGGTGATTGGCAGGAAGGAATTTTGAATGATCAGAAATATTCTTGTCTACTTTTTGTTGGTAGGTGATAGGAAAGTAAGCATTTGAAATGCATTATCATTTGAGGTACATTATTCTTAAGTTTAGAGGGAATAAGTGCCCAAATCTAAACAGAAAATCATGCAGACAAAACAAATGAGTTTTATCAGGTGTTAATCTCTTGTTCTCTTCCTGTTTGCCATTTGTTTTTCTTTGTGCATTTGTATTCTTCTGTTCGGTTATCATTCCATATTCTATCTGTATTGGGAGTTATGATTGCAATGTTTACATTTAGTAATTGTTTAGTTGTTTTATTTTCCTTTAGGTCGTGCCTGAGAAGACTTGGGGCGTTTTTCATCAAGAGAAAACTAGACAAAGAGATAGGCAAGAAAGATTGGGTGTACAGGTCTACATTACATACAGTAAGTCTAAGAGTTTGAATTGCATCACAGTATGTTGCAAGATAAGTTCTTTAGTACCAGTTTATAAAGTCAACCCTGTTTTAGTGACCATCTGCATACATGTAGAAAGACCACCTGTGTACAGAGACCACACTTTTTGCTTCTGTTGAAAATGGTTACTCATTGAAACATGTACTAAGGGAAGGCAACTTTATTATCACTCGCGTTCGTCCGGGTTCGGGACGCCTACTTATCTCTTAATCCCCCGTTCCCGGACGCGTATTGTACGCTGGCGGTCCCTTGGCGTCCCTTGCTCGCGTCTATTGTTGTCTGTTGGACAATAGAGCAGGCAGCCAGAAAAGAAGCCATCCCGTCCGCTAGGACCGCTGTCAATGAACCTCACCGCTATCCAGCCCCTCTCTAATCCTTACTAATCTGGCGTCCCCTGACAATAGCTGACCCGTCTAGAACGCGTTAATCTGGTGTTCCCTGACAATAAAGTTGCACCCGTCTAGCTCGTGTTTAAAATACAAGATAGTAAATTTTCATAGATGAATTTTCAGTCTTGAAAGCAGAGCTAGAGCTGCAATCCTCCCGTGTTGATTGATAATAATTTGTCTAAAAAATGTGTCGCGCGCTAAAATAATAAACCTAACCAGCAACGCCTCAAGTCTTTCTACATACAGCCGCATATGAATAAAAGCTTCTTGTGCGACACTGCAAATATATAAATCATATTTAGTAGTGTCTGTATTCCCCCAACCTATTAATCAGTACTGCATTGCGTGTATCAGCAATTCGCGCAAATCAAAACATGTGGATAGCGGTCACGTGACCTAAAATGCGGTCACGTGATCTAAACCCTACAGCGCTGGTAAAGATACCACCACACTCGAAGGCCCTCGAAGCAGGCCTGCCTCGAAGGGCGCTTGCGATAAGCGAAAAAACTCGTTACAAAATCTCTGATTTTTTTATTTTAAGCGCTTTTTTTGGCGAAGCCGTTTTTTAAAACTTGGCTAAGCCACCGCGTGCTTTGGAAATATGGCTCCGATTCCGCACTTGTGACAGCAAAATTTGGCTTTTGGGGTGGATTTTTGGAAGTGACATCGGGATTTTCTTGTACTAGTGAGTGACGCTGTGTGTAGTGCAGTGCACTGATATGTAATTTGCGTGTGTTGTGGATGCTGGTTTGATATCACGATCGGATGCATGTGTGTATGCATGGCCTGGGGTAATGCGCACGTCTTTGAGTGGTGTACATCCCCTGTGTTGTGTGTATGCATACTATGCATACGCTCGTTCTCACAGTCAACCTGTAGCCACGTTCGCATAGCCATACTCAGAACTTACAATTTTAGCACAGCAAAACAAATACGTATTTTCCCTTAAAAAAACACGTATAAATACGTTAAAAACGTTCTGCTTGGCAGCTCTGTGAAGTCTGAGTTTTATCTAAAGTCACAGCAGAAAATTCAGTGTTTTTACAAAATAAATATAGAAATAAAAATAAGGATTTACATTGCATGCATGTAGTCTACCTTACAAGTGAAGATGTAGATATGTAACTTTGCCCCCCTGTTTTACTTTTCCCTTTTGCTGATTTTTTTTTATTCTATGCATAATCAGGCCTCTCGCCAAGAAATTAAAAAGGCGTGGCGCGACACGAGGGAAAATTTAACCCCGCCCCCCTGAAGAAAAAAAAAAAAAAAAAAAAACGTTTACAAGTATTAAGAGTAATTTGATGAATTGTTATCCCTGTATTATGTTCCGAGTCATTGTCATATTTACCCTTGCACTAAATAATCAATATTTATAGTATGTTGGAATTTGTGAAATTTGTTATCCAATGTTACGAAGGAAAAAAAATGTATATGATCATAGTTGTTTGGATTTTTATCGAGCTAGACCAAGTCATGTATTTAAAGCTGTAATTATTTTCCTTATATTAAAAACAATATTGCATTTTCTTATTTTTACAAAAATTGCAGTACTCAAATTTCTTCGTCTTTTACTTTATATTGGAGTAAAATAAATTCTCTGTCTCAAAATGACATATACACCCGTCGACTTCGAGACACCAAAGCAATTGATAGAAAGTCTGAAGAGCTGTCGACGTGTTTGTACGCCCGCGTCATTAACATGGCCAGTTCATATTTGTAATTTGCTGGAAATTGTTCTTTAAAAATGAGAAATTCACGAGTTTGAGTAGGATCTCACTATTTCATACTTATGTTAAAAATGATTGTTAAATATCATAATTTTGAGTTTTTTTTATTGCCCGATATGAAAATGCAGCCACAAATGAATTTGAAAATTTTGATTGACTGCATAGTTGCTTAGTAACCAGACATACTAGTCAGTTCATTCATGACTTATGAAGCCGCCTCTGAGCTAATGTAAACAAAAACAAAGCCATTTATGGGCCGAGTGAATGACCTCAAGTGAATGTGACAGAGAAGAGAGCGAGAGAGAGGTTTTCCCACGCTTATCTTTTCAGGGGGGGGGGGGGGGGGGGGGGGGGGGGGGGAGGGGGGGGGGGGGGGGGGATAACTTCACGAAACAGACAGCGCAATAGAGAGAGAGAGAAAGAGAGGGGAATGTCTGATGGAGAGCGCGCAAACATGAAAGGGCTTGGCCGCCAAGAAGGGATCGGAGCTGAACAAGGGGGAGACATTAGCATTTTGATAAGATTGGATTATGTCCGCATTATGTATCATCGACCAAGGCCACGTGATGAGTGATGGCTCACTCGTAGTTGGTAGTTGTAGTTGGTTTCTCAAATAAATAACAGATAGTAATAAAATGTCCAGAATGAGTGAAGTGAAGTTGTGGATCTATCTTTGCCTTCACGTTGGTTTTACTTTTCCCTTTTCAATGCATTTTCGTATTTATTTAGTCGCCCTTTTTACCTGCGGCTGCCATCTTTCCGTCTCCCGATCCTTTCTTTCTTCTTGAACTCTAATATTTCTTTATTTATATCTTCATCACCAGGCGCGTACGCAGTGAGGGGAGGGGGAACCCCCCCCCCCTCATTTGTTTTTTGTGTGTGCTTATGGGTGACCAAAAAAACATCAAATCCTGGACACACAAAAAAAAATGTGCTCTTACCCCCCCCCCCCCCCCCGCCTGTCATTGCTAACTTTTCGGCGCAATTTAACCCCCCCCCCCCCCTGCGAAAAAATCCTGCGTACGCCCCTGTTCATCACTTACTTCATCTAATTTTGCAATTCCATCTCTTAGATTTTTTTTTCAATGATTAATATGATAACGTTATTATATCGTTTTTTCAGACTTTCATTGAAATTAGAAATTTGAATTGTGTTCAAAACTGCGAATTCATTCTTCAATACATCTCCCGATTTCTTTATCTTGAAACTTAATTTTTTTTTTTCTTCACCTACTTTATCTGCCCCCTCTAATTTTGTAATTCCACCTCTTTAAAATAATTTTTTTTTTTCTTTTTTTTTTCTTCAATTATTAAAATACAAACTTAATTTTATCATATATTTTGTTCTCGGAATTGCATTTAAATTGGGGAGGGTGTGCATTACGAAGGCGCGTAACGATGTTTAATATACGCGATGTTTTGGAACTTTGGTGTTGATTGACATGACTCGCCTCATTTCAGATAAGCAATCGACCTATACAGTGCGCCTCAGAAAACACGAAGCCGAGAATTGTCGATGTTTTATCATAACTTAATCATAGTTATAATTAATAAATGACACATATTGGTAAAGCTTAGATCCTCTTCAGTGATGCAACTCTTATGCATATTTCACGAATGAGCGATTAAAAAACAATTTGAAGACATGCAGGGTCCTATGGTAAGGCATTAATCCTCATTACCAGGTCCCTCGGAGAGAACCTAAAGCCGTCGGCCGTCTGGTTGCTTTCTTAGCAGTCAGGTAAAATAACCACCACCACAGGGTATCAAAAAGTCATTTGGCGAACGGTATCTGAATTTCTAGAAAATTCACTTTCTGCCCTTTCATAAATTAAACCTCGGCTCAATCAGAAAAAATGAGCCAGGAATAACAAATTTCTGTTTGTTTAAAGTAATGCTAGCACTTCCATAATTTGATTAAACGAATTCGTTTTCACTGGCTGCCTGCCGTAGCAACAAACAGAGTTATGGAAATAATGGAAATGCAAGCATTTATTTAAACAAACGGAACTTTGTTATTCCTGTACAAATATGTGTCATTTATTCATTATAATTTTGATCAAGTTATCATAAAACATCGATAATTCTCCGTTTCGTTTTCTCATGGGACGCACTAGCTAAAGAAAGTGTTGATTAAAGAAAGAGAGATAGTACGTGGTAGAGAGATAGTGGTAGAGAGAGATTAGAAAGGTGACTGGATGAGAGAGAGAGAGTAAGAGGGCTAACAAAAAAAGGGGGCGTAGAGAGGGCCTGGAGAGAAAGATAACAGATAAGAAAGGAAATTGTGTTGATTTGAGATACAGATGTATTACCCGAATTAAAAAGGAGTATTGTTGGATCTGTTTTTGTTATCATAACAAAAATTCTCCTCACCATTGTCCAGTCGCAACAACGACATACAAATAATGACAGATTTATTATGACATTCCCGCCACAAGTCGGCGCTCTCAGAACAAAGGCGTAGGCTGACGATCGTAAATTACGCGGTCTGTCTGAACTTGGGTGTTGATTACAACATTTCCAAGATACGGTTATCAACCCAACTTTCTAGTACTTCATTTGTGCCTATTCATTGTACCCACGAAAAGATCGATAGAAATGTCAGAATGTCTATTACCCTTCCCAGGGTTCAATGGGCGGCACAGGGTATGCAAATTATAAATTGTTCTAGCGCTGCTGGTCGCTACAACTACAAGGCGGCCACGGCCTACGTATCACTCATTCAAAATTAGTTTTCATAAGACCAAACCTCCAAAATAGATGACATATAAAAAATACATAACAGTCTCGTAGAGTAAATATTTCAAAGAACAAAACATGCATGTCTACGTCCCTCTACCTCTCTCTCCCTCTCTCTCTCTCAACCTCAAACAACGGACCTCTGCATTGATTGCGATTCACACAGTTTTCATTTCATTTACATTTCATTTAAAATGGGGAAAGCCTTCCGATCGCTGGAAGGAAGGAATTTTACTGGCAAGGTGATTAAACGAGTTCTTGCCCCTCTTAGCGCGACAAATAGAAACCCTATTCCTCTCAAGAATTATGTAATATTATGTAAGATAATCCCCCCCATTCTTGCCCCTTTCATTGGGGACCCGTTTGGGACGCTCGCGTTCTCTAAACAAAGGAGGGTACGCGATGAATGGAGAAGGTTTTAATCCCCCATACCTTACGCGTTAAGGACAGTCGCGTTCTGCTAACAAAGGAGGGGACGCGATCGTCCTGAACCCGGACGAACGCGAGTGATAATAAAGTTGCCTTCCCTAAAGGAACCTGTACATAAGGACCACCTGTCTATAAGGACCACTTTTCTTGTCTCCCTTGGGTGGTCTTTATAGACAGGTTTCACTGTATTACAAAAATATATTGAGCATTGAAATTGTTATGCAAGAAGGTTGTAAAATTTCACAATTCTCTATTTCCTACAAAGTGGACAGAACACTTAGATATTATTTCTTTGGACCATCTTTACCCATGATTATACAATGTTATTGGAACATCTATTTTTATATTTACTATGATATTTTGTACAATATCCAGTCAGAGAGCTTGACTATTTTTATTTCTCTCTCTCTCTCTCTCTCTCTCTCTCTCTCTCTCTCTCTCTCTCTCTCTCTCTTTCTCTCTCTTCTCAGTATATGGAAGAGATACTGAGGGATGGTCAGAACATGGAGTTCTTCATTGGTAAGTTTTCTTGTCATTGATTATTCGTAAATTCCGTTCTTTTTGCTATTTTAGTTGTGGAGATTTGATGTATTTACAGCATCAGCTATCAATTGTAATTATTGAAGACAGAACAATTTACTCTGAACACAAAACTGATATGACTTGAGAAGTTTGTAAGATTTTATCAAATTACAACATTAGAAAAATGTGGCGTAACACAAGCATGACAGTTTGCAGTACAGTTTGTAGCCACAACAGAACACTGTTTGCACGAGTTGTTGATCCATTCTTAAATGTTTTTACCTTAAAATGTGAAGATAAGCAGTCAAGTATTTGTTTTGGGGTTTGGCTTTTATCAAGAATTTCATGAGATTGATGAGAAGTTTTAAGATGTTTCGCAATATTGAAATTGATTACTGTGTTTAATTTTGTATCTAGAGGGAGGAAGGTCGAGAAGTGGCAAAGCACTTGCACCAAAGGGAGGACTCCTCTCATGTGTTGTAGATGCCTACAGGGATGGTGAGTATACTGGAAACACTCCCTTCCATTATAGTAAATTTAGACAAGAGAATAACACTGTGGTATCATTATTTTTATTTGTTGCATATTTCAACAGTCCACTCTCGCTCCTAGATTTGTTATTGAAGTGTTATTAGTGATTATTATTTAATAATAATAATCTTTTAAAGTCCACTCCAAATTTTATTAAGTTAAACCGAAAATGGAATGCTTTTTGCCCAATTGATCGTGAGCCCGGCAGCCACTGAGCAGCTCCAGATCGACGTTGCTCTATCCCTTATTGTTGAATGCCAAACAAGGTAGCAGCAACTCCCGTCTTTTAACTTATCTTGAAATAGACAAACAGAAAAGGAAAAAATATGTGTACACAAGTTTAGTCTAGGGATATTTTTTTCTTATTTGCCTCATCAGAGGATTTATTAGGTATACATGGTTTACATTAACAGATACAATGATACAAATCAAGCTTACATAATCACAAAAGCGTCATACTCCGGGAGTCTAGGGATATATTGCCTCTTGTTATCCTAATGTGCAATAAAACAAATTGAATTGAATTGAAAATTGAATTGATTATTGTTGTAGACATCATCCCTGATGCGTACATCATTCCCGCCTCCTTCAGTTATGAGAAGATATTGGACGGTAGCTTCAGCAAGGAGCAGATGGTGAGAATATTTATCTATCTTATTTTATTTCTGTTCATATACAAGTGTAGGTGTTTATCCGACTGGCAGATGAAATTTTTGGGAAGGTCCGAATCAAATGGTTTCAATAAATAAATAGTGCACCTAAAAGCAACATCCACAAAATACCTTGATTATATGGAAGTCACAGATACAATTTCACGTCAAGTGCCAAATGCAGCAGACATGTATTTCATTTTATGAGGAATAAAACAAATTGATGTGATTGTATACAACATTTCCCTCTCCTGGCATACATTGTAGATACATTTGTCAGCCTGTGATTTGTTTTATTGATTTTTGTTGAAAGAGTAAGAAAATTGTGTGGATCCCAGTGATAGAGTAATATAATTGTAGAGTTGTCATCACACGGTTAACAGTTCCAGTCCAATAGTAACACTAATGTCCTTTGGCAAGACATCAATCTTCATTTTCCACTCTCCACCCAGGTGTGAAATGGGTACCGGTAGGAAGGAATTCCTTGAATGCTGTGAGTGTAAACAATGCAATCAGTAGCGTAGCAGAGCTGGGGTAATATTGGGGTGCCTTGAGCACCTTGCATGGTGGATATGTGGGCTATAGAAATATCAAATATTATCATAATTATTATTATTACTGAAGTTGAGGATAACTTTATCTCATGTTGCGCTGTCATCAATTGAATTTATCTTTGATTTTGTTTTATTTACCAGGGGATGCCAAAGAAGAAAGAAACATTCTTCAATGCAGTATCAGGAATCTGGACTGTTTTATCCAGTGGCTTTGGGAATGTCAGAGTGGACTTTGCTCAGCCTTTCTCATTAAAGGTAAATTGATATATCTATTGGTACTTAATTATCTTAACCGATTGACTACGGGAAGTAGGTTGTCCCTGTACGAAGCCTATGGGAATAAAAGAATTCAATTGTTGATGGATTAACCTGAATTTGTAAAGTTCATTTCATACTGTCTATTAAACACACTTTTCTACATGTGTCTACTGTGTGTATCACAGAGCAGTTGCTAGAAAATGTAAACACTTGAAGTTACTCATTTCAATTGTTGAATGCATTCTCTTGTAATCAGAATTCGCTCTGAGGTTTTGAAATGAAGCTGACAACACCATCTGTATGTTAAACAATGGGAAGCTCTTTTTCTTGATCTTTGGAAAAAGCCATGATTATGAGTCAAGGGTAAAAATCATAATGGCCGTTTTTACAAAATCTTATGAGACAGAATTGAATAACAAAACGTAAAATTTTGGAAAGGAAATTGCAGATTTTCCATGATGTCTTTTTTTTTGCATTGCAGGAATACCTTGGCTCACCACCCCTTCCCACAGCTCTCAACAGCGACCTTTCAAGGGTCACACCAAAGAGCAAACCTAGGCTGCAGAAGGCCGTTAGTGACCATTCTCTCTATGGGACCGATGTGGTGATTGAGGATCAGAGACAACTCATCAGGGGTCTGGGAGAGCATATCGTTTATGGTAAGGGCGTCTGAAAATCTACTGCATGTGCAAGACTTGTCTATCGTCGGTTGAGATTCACTTCAATCGCACCTCTTCTAAGAGAGCTCCACTGGTTGCCAGTCTGCAAAGAATTTCTTTCAAAATGTTCTTAATTGTTTATTAGTCATTGAATGGTCAAGCTCCTAGGTACATAACAGAATTACTTCACCTCAAAGTCCCGTCCCACAGTCGTAGTCTGCACAGTTCCACAGATAAATTATTGTTCCAGATTCCCCATGGCAAAACTAAAGTAACTCTCGGGGACCGTGCTTTTGCTATTGCTGCCCCCAAACTATGGAATAGCTTGCCAATACAAATACGAAGCACTCCATCTTTCAATGTCTTCAAATCCAAATTAAAAACATATTTGTTCAATTTGAGATAACCTATTTTGTAGAATTTAGTTTTAAAAAAGGAGCTTTAACCAGCGCAGCTGAATATATTTTGTATAAAAGCTGCGCTATATAAATTTATTATTATTATTATTATTATTATTTAGTAGAATGGATATCCATGGCAGATGAAATTGAGGCAAGATTATTGGCTGCTCGCTAATGCTGACATTGTGCACATCCTTGAAAAGTGTGAATATTATGACAAATGTTGGCAAAATATTGCATGAGTGACTAACGACGTGGATTTGTGTTTTACGAGTGGAACCTAGGGTACAGTCAGGAGACTTGCAATACATAAAAGTTGAATAGATGTTCATGGGGAAAATATGAGGATTATTTGTTTACCAAGGGAAGCATCATCAGCATCAATGCTGTTATTCCTGAGGGGCCTGCAATCATTAGTACCCTATCATTTGCCAGGAACCCATTTGCACCCGAGGAGAGTGGCAAATGTGAAACGTCTTGAAAAAGGACCTTAATGCCGAGCTGGGGTTTCAAACCCTCAACCCTTGGATTAAGAGTCAAGTCGATGAGCCACTATACGACACCTCTACTTGTGAATCATTGTAGAAAGTATTGCATTTTTTATTTCTTTACTGTACAGATTCAGTGAATGTGAACACAGCGATGAGTACCAACTTAGTGGCCTTCCTCCTACTCACAAAATTCAGACAGGTAATAATTGTCTCAACATTTTTATTTTCTTGCAAAGTTACGTAATTGTGTTCGCACACGTTTTATCTTGAGGGTATTTTTGTGTGCAAACGTTTGGTTTGCCTTATACCCCATTCATGTAGACTAGTCAAACTTCATGGAGTTTTTCTCACCCAGCTTGCATTTTCCTAGGTAATAATATGAAGATTTTCTTTTTTTTACCAGTTATATAGTGTTGCAGTAAATACCTTCCGTAAGATAGTGCAATGAAGCAAGTATAATTGCATGAAGTAAGTGGGGGGGGGGGGGGGGGGGGGAAATCATTTAAATAAATGTCTTTTTAATTTTGCAAAAAACCACTACAAGTCCATTTTGTTGTGTGTATTCAGTGAAAAGGAATTTCTCAAAGGTTGTTAGATATTATTAGAAGTAAGTTCGTACATTTTCAAGATGTTAAAAACACCAAGCCATGCTGTTGGTTTCTTCCCACATCAGGGCGTGGAGATGTCACAACTGGTCATGGCGGTCGACAACCTGAGGCGCGATGTCCTGGTCCGAGGCCGGGACGTCGGCTTCACCGGAGTGACCGCTGACGTGGTCAAGCACACCTTCAAGCTACTCGGACCGAACCTGATCGCAAGGCACCGGACCCGAAGCCAACCAGACATCGTCCCGACGGCGGAAGGGAACCAGAGGACGCAGGAGGTCAGGGAGATGGTGGTACCTAACACAGGGCTCCCTCATGTCTTTGAGCTGTCGTACTATGCATCCAGTTTGGTGTCCGTATTTCTTATGGAGTCTATCGTAGGTGAGTCACTGAGCAACATGCAGAGGTTTGTCTCGTTTTATAGCCGTAAATGAGAAACATGTAGAGAACTTATAGCCAAACGTGTAGTGATAGAAGTTTTAGTAAACTTTGATTCATTGAGCATAATATAAATCAAAGACCAGACACATCAAGGAACGGTGTCAATTCAACTTGGTGACAGAAGAATTCAAAGTTATGATTTCATTAACATCTGACGTAAAGACTGGCATAGTTTACACATTTAACAAGACAAACGTGACATACTTTGAACATTTTAGCTTAAATTTTAGTATAAATTCCCTTTATATATGTGCTTTCATAAACCTGTGTTGTGTTTGTGAGTTAGTTTGTTTTTTGTTTTTTGGGGGGACACCCGTCCCCTCTCTTTCTCTCTCTCCCTCTCTCTACTTCCTTCCACTTTCATGCTGCCTGTCCTCTCACTCATACTGTCTACATGTTAAACTCTCATCATTCTCCTCACAGCCTCCTCTCTGATCGCCCTTTGCAATGAAGACATGCTGGTGATCGACAGCTCCAGAAAGAACACCATCGTCCTCGCCCGCTCCAGACTACTACGCAAGGCAGAGGAACTCTGTGACATGCTACAGTTCGAGTTCACCTTCGTACCGGTAAGTTAATACAGTCTGATAGGGATGACCTAACAAAAACTTTGAGCTGAAGTTCATCAAAAAGAGGGGATAAGGCTTTGGGTTTTGATCTAACTGTTGGACAGTACCTCGGTCACATTGATTGGACTGACTCTAGCTTGAACAAATTATGACTATACTGCCTCAAGGCCGACATATTTGTCGGATTGGTTGGTTTGGAGTCCGTGGGTTGAAGTCAAGAATTTGGTTGGGGTTATAAACAGTAGCTGTCCAAAGATGATTGTTATTGGTATCAGGACAATTACCACCTGGAAACCACCCCCCCCCCCCCAAGGAAAATTAACAGCCGGAAAAATACCCCCCCCCCCCCCAAAAAAAAAACAACAAACAAATTAGTCCTCCCCCCCTGAAGAAAACAACCCCTGAGGACAATTACCTCCCTCCAAGACAACCAAGGACAACCACCCCCCCCCCCTTGAAAATTACCACTTGTTCATTAAAAGGGAAGTCCACCCTGATGATAAGTTGGTTTTAGTAAAATAATGATTTTATTTCTGGGGGTAATTGACCTCAGGGGGGGGTGTTATTGTCCCCATGGTAATTGGCTGAAGGGTGATTGCCCAGGGAGTAATTGCTTAAGCTTAAGACGACCCCATTTCTGTATAAACCCTGTGGAAATCGTACATTCAGAGTTATGAGATTGTAAAGGTTTATATGTTGATGTATATGGAATAAATAAACATCAAATCAAATCAAATTGCCCGCGTAGTAATTGTCACTGGAGAATGTGTCATACAATCCTGCTAGGCCAATGCCCCTGATAAGGATAGCACTGTAAACAGATAGGAGGAAGCAGATAGGAGGAAGCTTGAGGGAACAGAGATGGATTGTTCAGGAAATATAAAGTACTAGTATTCTTCCTGATTGTTTCCAGTACTTTGGCCTACAATCATGTTGTGAAATGTGAACAGGTTATTTTATTATCTTGCTCGTGAGATTGTGTATTTTGTAAATCAAGAATGAAAGGTGGGCTGGTTGAATACTTTTAGATGCAAGCTTTGATTTGTCACATTCTCAGGAAACTTATTAGGGAACGAGTCAATTTTCCGTGTACTTCAGAAATTACAAAACTTGGTAAGGGTATGAATAATTTAGTTGGTAACAGTGAATCTTAGGATCTGTGTGAAGGTAAATATTAGATATTTAATTAGTATTTTTTCTAACACACGCACTCTCTCTCTCTCTCTCTCTCTCTCTCTCTTTCTATCTCTCTCTCTCTTTCTCTCTCTCTCTCTCTCTCTCTCTCTCACACACTTATCTACACATGTACTTCAATTTGAAAAGGAAACGTTAATTATGAAATAACATTTCTATATCACATTTTTTTGCCCTTTTATCCCTCATTTTATTCAGCCTTGTGGAAACATTGCACATGCAATCTCAGAAGCCATTGATAAACTTGTCATTCATGAGGTAGTGAAACTGCAGGTAAGTGCACAACTTTACATTTGATATGCTATTGCAAAATGATATCAGCACATTGAAAATGATATCTGCCACATGCATTATTAAAAGTAATCTTGATTTAATAATTACTGATATTAGATACCCACATAATCAAATCAAATGATATCATTTGAAAAGGCATGGTAGATGAGTAATGACCAAAGAGAGTTAAGAAAATGCAACGGGTTATCCTAAGATATCCATATTATGTTACCGTTTGCTCATGTACGTTGTCCTTTTCAGAGAATGTGATGTAATGTAATGAAAATGTTTGTAAATATATCTGTTGATCAAAATACCCAATCTCCTGCACTTTGAAGGTATAGACCAGATCTGGTCATGCGTTTGCATTGTGAAAGAAACGTGGAATCGATCAGAAAAGGTTGATCATCTAGCTTAGATGTACTGCAAGGTTCTGGAATCATCAAAATGATAAGAAATTTGGCCCAGTCTTGGTAAAGTTACAAGCACTGTACACAGAAAGATGTATATGGGAATACGCGATATCTATCCAGACCGGATAGATATGATAATTTACCAAATATATCAATATAAGTAGGCGGTTTCCCTGCAAAATTTGTATCATCACATATTAGTAATAACATATTCTGTCACATGATTGGTAATAAGAGCTTCAATTTCATTTTTTGAGAGGGGGCTTTTCCAAAACTGGTCTATACCTTTAACCAAGCTTCTCTTAAAATGATTTGCTGTGAAGTTCGAAGTGTCATTGTATGCTATTGATTGTTGATCACCACAGCAAGCTCCAGACCCTCAGAAGTGGGCGAGGCACATTGGTGTATCATCCTCATGGGACAGTGAAGGCAGTGATGAAGAGGACATGCCATTCGTAGACCAGAAGATTGAGGTAGGTCTTTATTAAACATCATTTTAGTCAAGTTTGAATAATCAATCTTTGTATGCCATCCATTTTATGTCTGTTTAGTTTGAATAATAATAATAATAATTATAATAGCCTAATAGTCCACTCCAAATTTTATTAAACCGAAACGGAAATTCTTTTTGCCCAATTGATCGTGAGCCCGGCAGCCACTGAGCAGCGCCAGATTGACGTTGCTATATCCCTTATTGTTGAACGCCAAACAAGGTAGCAACAACTCCCATCTTTTAACCCCTTTTGGTATGATGCGGCCGGGGTTCGAACCCACGACCTCCTGGTTGTGAGGCGGACGCTCTACTGACTGAGCCGACACTCTGGTTCATTGTTTAACCATCCGGGATGCCAGTTTTCAGGCAACAGCCTGAATTCAGGCCCTGGCGAGTTATTTTCAGGCCATAGTTAAGGCTTTTTTGTGTACAAAATAGCTCATTCTAGGTGATTTTCAGGTCCTCTGATCAATTCTAACCGGCATCCCTGAACCATGTGTTATTCTCTGTCCTGGTATGTACGTTTTGTGCTTTCCCAGGCAGAGAGCGACATTTTTACAATGATGATAAAGTATGATAATTTACAATGAGTATGGTTTGTAGAGTAGAGTTAAAAGTTGAGAGGTGCTCATTCACTGATCACTAAAAATAACTGGATACTACTGATCTGTTCCTTTCTTTCTAGAAGAATACAAACCAAGTTTCTTTGTTGATTCTATATTTCCTTCAGAGCATACTAACTCCCCTAATTGAAGGCTACTGGCTGTCTTCCTGTAGAGATTCAAAAGCCATCTTATTTATCAGTATTAATGGATATTGCATTTTACTCCCTTTCCCTGTAGATGAACACCAACCAAAATTCCTTGCTAAGACTCTACTTCCTTCAGACCATACTAGCCCCGCTCAACGAAGGCTACTGGCTGTCAGCATGTACAGATTCAAAAGCTAATCAGATCTCATTAATCAGAAGTATTAATTGATATTGCCTTTTACTCCCTTTCCCTGTAGATGAACACCAACCCAAATTCCTTGTTAAGACTCTACTTCCTTCAGAGCATACTAGCCCCGCTCATAACAGACTACTGGCTGTCTGCCTGTAGAGATGCAAAAGCCATCTCATTAATCAGAACTATTAACTGATATTGCCTTTATTCCCTTTCTCTATAGATGAACACCAACCAAGATTCCTTGCTAAGACTCTACTTCCTCCAGAGCATACTAGCCCCACTTATCGAAGGCTACTGGCTGTCGGCCTGCAACCTCATTCGTCTGCTAGAGATTGACGTCCCAGAAGTGGACTTCTCCAAGGTTGTCAACGAGTACTCCAAGGATCGAGTCGCAAAGGGTCTTGCCATCTATGGTAAGTCACATCGAGCTGTGAAACACACTGTGCCTTTTATATTGATGATATTAATGATATTGGATTGACATTAGAGCATGACGTAATCCTCATTTACTAAATTTCTTAGATAAGATTTACAGTTGTCACTTCCCTGGTGACTGACTGGCCAATGTAACCATTACCATGTCTTGCTTTCCATGCTCTCAGACTACATTGATATCTCTCCCATTCTTGTCTTCCTGCAGCGGAGTGCTGTGCCATGGACACCCTGCGTAACTCCTGGCGTCTCTTCAACCACTGGAAGGTGATCGACTGCTACCTGGACTCGGACAAGAAGAGGATGGTGCATCTCAACGAACCCTTCAGGAGTGAGGAGAAACTGGGTGTGTTCATCGATAGGATAGAGGCTTTCAGGAGTTAAGCTGACTTCAGAAGCGTGAACCTTCAAAAGCGAATTTTCAGAAGTGAACCTTCAGAAGTGAACCTGTAGAATCGAGCCTTCAGAATTGTGTTCATGGATAGGAGTGAGGTCTTAAGGAGTTCAACAGACTGTCTTGATGAACATTTCTGTAGGTGGGAAAAGTTATTTGTTAATTAACAGGATAGAAGCATTCAGATATAAGCAGAATGTCTTGTTTACACTTTAACGTTTCTTGAGTCAGGAGAAGGTAGATGCATTCGGATGTTAAAGCAAGACCGTCTGAACAGACCCTTTAAACGTGAAGAGAAGCTGGATGTGTTCAGATAAAGCATTCAGGAGTAAACAAGCTTTTCAAGAGACTAACAGATAAAATTTAAAGTTTACTTGACAGTGCTTGTGGTAACTAGTATGAAGAATTGGTTTACATAGGCACCATGAATTGAATGAGATGTTAATTGTTGAAATCCTTTTTGTTGTGCCTTGACTGCACTGGGCAGTGTTGCTTCTATTCTTGGAAAGAGAATATCCTCATGTTTTGGATTTAATGAGAGGATGAAAGATAGGTATATTTTACCATGAACACAGAGTCGTGGTCTTTTGTTGAGAGGAAAGATTGTGGAAGGTGTACAGATAAGCTGCAGAGTGTATATGTGAATTTACTTAGGTGAGTTAGATGATGTGTAGTGGTCCTGGGAGAGAAAGAGAGACTTAAAAAGGAAATGATATTTTGATCAAGAGTGATGATGCCTGACGTTGCAGGATATATGTGTACCGGTAGATAAAGAGAAAAAAATTGACACAAAAATAAAGACGCAATAGAATTATTTCAATCAGATACTCACAAGATTTCAATGTTGACAATTGTAATCTAAGTGCCGAGGTATTTGTAAATACATCCATGTAAATTGTTTTGCTATTGGCAATTTAACTTAACTTTTATTTAAAGACAGAATTTGAAACATTGTATAAAGTGTGATGTTTGGGGCTCCATGAACAAGCAAGTATATTGCAAACTTATTGGATTAATTCAGTTCTTCAAACACTGTGAATAGCCAGATTGTGAGGTACTTAGGGATACAATTGTAAGCAACTTAACATACTTGATTTGATTTGATACTTGCCATGCCCAGTAAATATAAGGTTTATGAAAATTTATGTTTATTCTCTCAAATTTCTGTATTCAAGTGTACTAGATTGTAGGTAATCACCTGATTTAAGACTTTTTGATTTAATCCAATGCTGCTTTTGATCTAGGGGGTATCTTTAGTTTGTGTGTTCAAAGGGGTGGGATATTTGTAATGGATAGACATTTCTGTATATTGTATATACATTCAAGAGGCAGCAAAGATATAAGAACTTAATTCAAAGCAATATGTATATTTTTTTTAAATGATCTACAGTTGAGTCTGAAATGTGTATGTTGATTGAAGTGGAATTATCATATGCCTGTCCTAAGTTGGTCAAGAAACATTATTTTTATATTTGTTTTACGTTGTGATACCAATGAATTCTTGAATTTGGAGTCTTTTAAAACTCCAAAAAAAAATTTCCTCCTGGTAATGCACATTGAAAGCTCATTTCACACATTTATGTTTTTGTTTTAAGAGTGATACCACATATCCAGAGTGATTACTGGTAGTATTTGTACATGTACTTGCTAATGCTTCAATTAACACACTTATCTGGTGAATTACAAATTAGTTTACCAAGGTAAGAAGTTAATATGTAAAGCTTTGTTTAGTATTTTTCTGTGTTTGTTATTTAAACATCATTGGATGTATAAGAAAAAAACACAAACTGAAAAAAGAAGGAGAGATTTACAGTTATATGTTATACATTATACGGTACATTGTATTTGTTCAGTTTATTTTCCACTAAGAATTTTACAGGGAAAATCACATTATGTTTAGATAAAGTAATTAATGGCATTTGCTCAGACACGCCTTTGTTTTTGTTTTTGTGTGTGTGTAATGATTGTAATCCTAATAATTCTAATAGCTGAAAAATATGTTTGTCAGCTTTAATCAACTTAAAGTTAATAGAAATCCTAGACATGTATGTTCAGTCAGTCAGTCACTCCTGAGTGAGTGAGAGAGTGAATTGATTTTACATCCCCAAATTTTCCATGTTTGGTAATGAAATCCTGTAGAATACTTGCCTGACTTCCTACTGTGATTTACTGTAAAACCAGAGTTCTTTCTCATGCATGAAGTGTTTGCAAAATTTGGGAGTGGTTAAGATTCAAGAAAGTTTGATGCCACTAAATGTATGATTCGAAATTGACACAACACAGAGTTTTTGTAATTTCTGACAGATTCTTGCCGTAAATATCGCCTTAGTTGAGAAAGTTGCTGGTTTTACAGTATTATCTAAGATTAAAAATATGCCAGTACAGAATTATTGTAATTACTACTGCAATGGACTGAGGCATTTAATCATTCTATACTGATGTAATAGAGTATGCGTGTTTAGACTGTAAAATAATGATGTTTTCCTAACTCAGGTGGAGTATGTTATGTATGAACAGGGTGAATACATCATAGATTGCTTGCAGTTGTATTTATTGTGGTATGAACATGTTTCTGTACTCTTTTTTGTTGTTGTTGCCGGCAGCAATGCCAAAAGAAACTAAACAAATGAATGGAACTCATATTTTCAATTTAGTTATGTTTGTATTAATATTACAAATAGATGTTTTCATGTTTCTCTGTCGGTTGCAGTTTTATTGTAATTGTCATGTTATAAATTGTTTTCTATTCAACCTTTATATGACATATATAAAGGTTATATGACACTTCCAAGGTACCTCATCGTTATAAATAATGCTCCTTAAATTTAGTGTTGCTCTTAAAGACGTTGACGAATAAAATTTAAGCAGGAGTCAGCCATAACGCGTTGATAAAGATTTACTTATGTTTTATTGATGATATCTTGATATCATAATGTGTCATAAATGGAATTAATAGGAAATTCCAAAGTTTTGATTCATGCCTAGTGGAGAACGAGTTATATGTATAATGTATTTGCTGAGTGCCAAAAGGGCGCTATATCTATGTTTAAAGAATGAGTTGATGCCCTACTGCCTCTGGTTTTCAACAGATTAAAGAAAAATGCAAGTAAAGGAAAACTCTCCATATATTGCAGTCTTCAATATTTGTACTATTTTCCACAGGCTACATGTATGTTCGGGAAATGGTGTTGTCTTTTATGTTAGGGGAAAAGGGCGTCAATTGTCTTAAAGATGAAGTTGAGTTTTAGTCACGAGATTGCATTGTGGAAAAAAAAACGGTGTGGAATTGACCAGAAAAGGTTGATCATCTAGCATATCAGAATTTGTGTGTATTGCAAGGTTCTGGAATCATCAAAATGATAAGAAATTTGGCCAAGTCTCGGTAAAGTTACAAACACTGTACACAGAAAGATGTATATGGGACTACACGAACACGTGGTGTAAAAATCCTATCCCGGATTTTTACGATGTTACATGACATATTTAGACTATGAAGGCATTTGAAGAGCCTTGCTTTTCAGGGCACATGTATTATCTGATGTTCTTCCACCCTTGCATAATAGCAATGATAACGCTCACAAATAATTTTTCACCTCTTCCCAGAACTCAACCTTCTCTTTAACAAACTTAAGTTGCACAAAGCTAACACTTGAAACCTTTGGTTCTCTCACAGATGCCGTTTTTAACTTTACGCAAAGGTAGACAGCTTTGAGGAGATAATAACCAATGACTTGTCTTAATGTTTATTTGTTATGACAACTAACATTGTTTAACTAACATAAAAGATAACATTGTTTCCAGAATACTGCCCCTGGTTAACCGCAAAGAGGCAGATGAGATATCAAATAATTGGTCAGATAATACATTTATTGGGCTAATAATCTTACCACATGGAGTTTGTTTATTATCCTTATGTTATGATAAGATGTCTCTGTGTGCTTTGGGGATTGAGAAGTTGCCTAATCTATTATAAACCGTGAAAATGTCATGAGTGATCCTTATTGAAAAGAATCTTACAATGATTATATTTTTTCTATTGAGGAGAGAATGACATCGAACAACAGAAAATGATAGGAGAAGGAGAAACGAAGGATTGCATTTATTTCAAGAGTAAATGATAAATGTGCATCTCTAATATAGAGCCTGAATTTCAATCTAAAGATATTTTAATCTGTAACAACAGGAACCAGCTTATTCTGTTGAAAAGCGATTTTAGATTGACGCACAAATGTATACCAGTTTCTAGCCTTCAATACTAGTAAGTTTCCATCCATTAAACTAAGGGATTTATATTTACATTGTAACTCAAGTATTTTTCTATTTTCCTCATTCTCTTAACAGAATTTCTACCCTGTATTCATAGTTTTGAGAGAGTTGTATTGACGAAGACATTTTGGTGATGCTTTTTATTTTTACCTTACGTTATCTCTATGGAGATGTGATGATACAACACGGAAAATGTGGAATAAAGGAAATTTTGATCTGAAATTTTGGTAAAACAACATTTTGCAAACAGTGTAGCTTTGTGTATTTATTATGTATTTGATTGGTAATGAGTTGTTGTATCGACTTGTTTGAGTGATTTCAAATTATTTGTGTAGCTTGTAATTTGTACATAATTTGTTGATGTGATGTGAAAGCTTATGTAAACTAAATGCATAGAATGAGTTGTGTATTATTGAGTGAACGAGGGATTAATGTATCCCTTCTCAGTGAACATGCCATGTCTGAATTACTGACTGCCTGACCAAAAAGAAGTGTTTGTTAGTTACAATGATTGCAATATATATATCATTTTAGAGTAATATGCAATGTGTTTGTTAGTTGGATCGTTACAGTTATATAGGTCAATGGTTTACATTAAATTTGTTAATGTCTGAATTGATCTTTATGTTGAGCAGGGCAGTGTTTTTTACGAAAACTTTATATTACAAGCTCGCCAACCACCCTTTGAAATGCGTGTATTAAATTCAACACGCGTTTCAACGGGATACCAGTGAACTTTTACTTCTGGCTGTTTCGTGAATCAATACCTGGGAAAAGAAGAAGGAGAAAAGAAAAAGAAGAGGAGGAGGTGGAGAGGTGAGAAGCATTTTTAAAAAAAGAAGAGTAGCCTCATATTTATGTTCTCCCAGAGTTTTGCCTAATACAATGACGCAATACAAATGTAAGTGATAAAGTGACAAAGTTATCATTTTGATCTTTTAATCAATATATCAATACATCGCTTTTGGGGGTGTTTCATAAAGAGTTCGTAAAGTTACGCATGAATTTACAAACGACTTGTACATGTACATGTATATGAAGTGCCAGATAGGATGCCCCCAGTTTTTTCTGATATTTCCAATAACCTCAATTAAATTATGGCAAAAAATATACTTTGCATTAAAAATGGTTGTTATAATAAGAATGTTAATCTACATCTGCACAGTTCAACTTAATAAATAATAATCAATAATGATTGAGCATCCCATTTGGCTTTTCATATACAAGTCGTTCGTAAAGTCATGCGTAACTTTACGAACAGCTTTATGAAACACCCCCCAGGTCATACACTAATATATTACATATATTACATTCATATAAAACATAAGTTTACAAACTATAATTAAAAAAATACTGTATACAATAATACTTAGTATACCCTATAATAGTTTGCAATAACGCCAAAGTTATTTTGTGTAGTTCCTTCTTAAAAGGGATGAACATAATTTATTAAAATAGCATTTGTTATGAAATAATTTACATAAATATATACTGTACATACATAAATGGTCTGAAAGTCTGACAGTATTTGCCATTTCTATTCACATCAGCTGCAATACAAAGGCCTGAAAGAGAAAATTGCCATACAAAGGTTTGAAAGAGAAAACTTGCGATAAAACGGTTTGAAAGAGATAAGGTTTTTCTTCAAACACATATAATTTCAAGAAAAACAACATGTACAAATTACATTTCCAATTCTCGTTAAAAAAATATACATTGTGAAAACTTAAGGAATAATGATTGCATAGATTACAATCAGCATGTTTCACAGACTCGGGCACGAACTGTATTTTGAAATCTTGCACAAAAAGGCATATTGTAAATCAAAGTTCTTCCAAATCCTTAAGAAAAATTATCTGAATCATCAAGACTGAAAAACGACTCTTGATCCAGGCAATCAAATCATGAGTTTCTAGTTTTAAAACAAAACAAAAGAGCCTCGATCCATAACATAAATATGAAAGGAGCTATAGGCTGCTACTTGTGAGATTCAAATTGATGCTTATCCACTTAATAACTACATTTTGATGTGAATATGGATCCTGTGCTTAATCCACTCGACCACTTTACATGATTGGAACCGTTTTACCGTTATATTATATAGCCTCAGTGTTTCTCAGATTTCTTGTGAAATAAAAATAGGTAGGAAATCAGCACAAATATACACATCTTCACAAAATAATATTTTTAATACGTTTCTTAATTGGATATATACATATAAACATTCATATACAAGAATCGACTAAACAATATTCTGTTTAAAATATACATTTCTTAATTTGACATTTACATATAAACATTCATGGACAAGGACGATTTACAATAATTATGGATATTTACATCAAAACGTGCATATAATCATAGGAAACAATGAGATGCTTTTATACAGTAGCGATTAGAGACTTCGGTGGAAAGCGCTTTATGAGTAACGTTTTTATTTATTTATTTATATTATTTATAGTAGAAAGTACCGTTCTGAACATTTAGCTGCTTGAACACCTTTAAGCTTGAATATGAGGATTTTCATGCACCTCACTGCCCAAATATGGAATAAATAAAGTATTTCAAATTAATTGGGTCAGACAATTATCACAAGAGCACATGTCGTTGGCTTTCAACACACCAACACCTCTAACGGTGTGCCCCGGCCCCCCCCCCCCCCACTCCGAGAACGGACGGACCCCATGCGTGTTGCCAAAATGTCCTTTTCGTAACAAAAGAAAAAGGTCGACCCGTATTGACTTTACACACCGGACTTTTGCTGAAAAGGGGGGGGGGGGGGTGCTGAAAAAGGCTCGTATACAAAAGAAAAAGGTCGAGCCGTATTGACTTTACACACCGGACTTTTGCTGAAAAGGGGGGGGGGGGGGGTCGATTGGAACACGCATATGCGTACCCTAAATAACACTGAGTGGGAAGGGGGGGCCGGGCGGTGTGCCTTTGCCTTTGACTTGGACTGATGGGGTTCTTCATAGGTTTGTACTGCTTGATGAAGTTAGTTCCTTGAGGAACTCTGTTGGATGAACATGGAACACAATGATAGACATCTCCTCATCCAAGGCACTCTTGATCAGCTCAGTCACCTGGTAAAAGGAGAATAGACGAATCAATGTATGTCTGGCAAACGTTAAGCAACCAATTATATTTTCTGAGCCTATCAGTCAGTTTCAAATTATATTATATTTAAATTTCTTCATTTAATCCTCAAATTTTGTAAAAAGATAATAGACGAATCAATGTATGTCGGGTGAACCTTAAGCAATCAATTATTTTTCTCAACTTTTCAGTCGGTTTCAAATAATATTTAAATTTCTTTTATTTAATCCTAAAATTTGTTAGCACATGATTTCTTTTCAATTTTTGTTTGTAGTCAACGCAACATCATGCTTAACAGGAGAATATGTAAATATATGCAAAATAAACGTATACTATGTAGAGTAAATACCTGAGGTTAACATAAATGTAAGTGAATTAATCACAAAGAACAAGTTTTTAATTAAAGTGTCTTATCACTGTGTCTATTCCTTGATATCTGACTTTCCAAATTCATTAATTCATTTCAAATTTCTAAAAAAGCCTTTCTTCGTTGAAAAATATAAGACACCTTATCAAAAATGTTGATAGTTTGAAACCCTGTGTCTCTCAAACGGTTAAAGTGGAACCATTCAAAGAATTTCCATCACCTAGCTGAAGAGTGGCAAATGTAAATTAATGTCTTGCCTTAATTATATTATGGCCGCTCAGCTACGCAGCCGGGGTAAATATGATACTTAATATGCAGTATAATATATTCATATAGTAGCTGCGCTGTATGAATGGACCCACTAACATGTGTTAGGATTCTTACTTCCTGTGTGGTTGCAAAGAGCGAGACTGAGTGATCGTTGATGGCTGTTATTGATCTACTTGATCTTTCCCCTTTGAAGAATACCCAAGCTGGGTCACATGCCCTCCTGAATTCTCCCAGTGTGGATGTGATCTAATGGCAACAAAGTAAACAAAGTTACTCTAAAAATGAAGACAGAATGTGCATGACAAACAATAGGGTTTACACAGCTCTATGTTCTAAATCAGAATGATTTTTATTACGAAAAAGGGGGAATTTCCCTTATTCTCCAAAAAATTGTAAATTTAGTTGAACTTTTCCCTTTGAAGAATAACCAAGCTAATGAGAACAAAGTAAACAAAGTTACTCAAAATATGAAGACAGAATGTGCATGACAAACAACTGGGTATATTATGCACAGCTCTATGTTCTGAATCAGAATGATTTATATTACGAAAAAGGGGGAATTTCCCTTATTCTCCCATAATTTTTGAATTTAGTTGAGCTTTTCCCTTTGAAGAATAATTAAGCTGGGTCACAGGCCCTCCTGAATTCTCCCAGTGTGGATGTGATCTAATGGCAACAAAGTCAACAAAGTTACTCAAAAAGTGAAGACAGAATGTGCATGACAAACAATGGGGTATACACAGCTTAATGTTATGAATGAGAATAATTTTTATTGGGGGGGAATTTCCCTTATTCTCCAAAAAATTGTAAATTTAGTTGAACTTTTCCCTTTGAAGAATAACCAAGCTAATGAGAACAAAGTAAACAGAGTTACTCAAAATATGAAGACAGAATGTGCATGACAAACAACTGGGTATATATGCACAGCTCTACATTCTGAATCTGAATAATTTCTATTGCGAAAAAAGGGAATTTCCCTTATTCTCCCATATCACTAGGAACAATAATAATGTTAAAAAACATGTTGACCATCTTGACACATTTTATGACGTAGGCAGATGAACAGCGCAGAAATAAACGTTATAACCCTGCAAGTATGAACAATTTAATCGTGAGAGGACACATCAATTGGAGAAACAAATTCCAACCAACAAAGAAAAAAAAATCGTCAACTACTTCGATATGCGTGAAATTTCCAAATTTTCCCCACAGAAAATTGAAATGACGGGGGGGGGGGAGAGGAAGTGAACGGGAGGGGAGAGGAGAGGAAGTGAAGGGGAGGGGAGGGGAGAGGAAGGGGATGGGGAGGGGGAAGGGGAGGGAGGGGGAGAGGAGGGGAGGGAGGAGGAGGGGAGGAGGATGGAGAGTGGGGAGTGGTCAAAGCCCACACCCTGCTCTATTGATGCCCTAGCTGTATGTAGGCTTACCTTACTTCCTTCAAGACCTATCCCAAGTTGATGCAAACTCCTTACTTCTGGTCTAATCACACAGACATTGCCGTTTGGAAAACGTTCTAGCTGCACAAGGATCTTTGATTCGAGAGACTGTAATGCAAAATAGATTCAATCAGAATATTTTATGAATGATTTTGCACGCCTTTAAGCCTTTACTTGAAAAAATAACTAACTAAAAAATAATAAAAACTTTCTTTTCCTCTTCTTCTTGTTTAACTCAAGACCATCATTACCACCACCACCACCACTATCATCACCACCATAACCACCACCACTACCAATACCACGACCACCATCACCACCACCACCAGTCCACCACCATCTTCACTTATACCACATACCACCATCCTCATCATCGTTAATTTCATCATCATCATCCTACTTCTCCTCCGAATAATATAATAAATGTCATCATCTTGACCATCAACACCACCACCACCATCACTACCACCGAGTACCAGTACCACCACCACTACTACCATAATCATCACACAGCGTCTTCTCCTCCTCATCATCGTCATCATGATTCTTACCAGCTTCCCCTGCACTACCACCACCACCATCATCATAATCATCTCCATCATCATCACTCTTTTCCTCTTCCTTTTCTTTATCCTCCATTCATCTCCTTTTTGTCACCAGCCATCGAAACTTTCGCATCATATTTGAGATGAGCAATAGGCTTACCTGAGTCGGCTTCTCTTTCAGGCTTCGGATAAGATTCATAGTTTCTTGTGCCGTGCCGATGTTCTTGGAGTCCACTTGTTGTAAAATGTCTCCGATGTAGATGGCATGAGGGGTAGCAGCTCCAACATCACTGACACTATGTGGTAATGAAATGATAATGCCTTTAATAGTAGTTCGAGGAATTAGATGATGTGATGGTAGTGGTGATAACGACGATAAATCGTAATAAGGGACAAGGACTACAAATAAAAAGAACAGAAAAAGATGCGCAGTAAAAGCATTGAGAGCAGGAGGGAGAAGGATCAGGAGAGAGAGAAGGGAGGTTTGAAGAGGGGAAAGAGGAAGGGAGGGATGGAGAGAGAGAGAGAAAGAGAGAGAGAGAGATGAAGAACTAAACAATTTGAAATAAATGGACCATATATGATATTGATCCAGATGATAATTTTTTCACATCTAATAATCCCATTAAGTACTGGCTACCTGTTGATTTTAATGTGAACCAAGATTTAATTAATAACTATAAACAAAAATTTAGCATTCTCCACTTTAATTCTAGAAGTTTGAATAAAAATTTTAACGCTATTGATCAGTTTATTAGTCAACTTAACTTAAATTTTTCTATATATGGTTTTAGTGAAACCTGGATTCACGATAACACAATGTTATTATTTAATAGGGATGGTTACACATTTTATCATAATGACAGACGAGGTAGGAGAGGTGGAGGGGTTGCACTCCTGGTTAATGAATTATTTGATGCTAAAGTTCGAGATGATATTTATTTACCTGAAACTCTCTGTGAATATCTTTTTATTGAAATCATATTGGATAATTGTAAAAACATAATTGTTGGTATAATTTACAGAGACCTTAATAAACCCATTTGTGATTTCAATGAGAATATGAATGCTTGTCTTGAAAAAATATCTTTAGAAAAAAAATCAGTTTATATAATGGGAGATTATAACATTGATCTACTTAAATATAATTCGCTTCAATGCATTGATGATTTTGTAAATATTATGTATAACAACTCATTTCGCCCATTAATTGACAAACCTACAAGAATTTGTAAGAAGTCTGTCACTTTAATCGATAATATCTTGACAAATGTAGTCACTAAAGACATTCACTCTGGTATTTTCTATAGTGATATAACGGACCATCTACCTATTTTCCAAATAACCAACCTCTCTATTAGTCCTTGTCATAGACCATCGTCATTTTTCCACATAAGGAAAACGGATCCTCTAAGTTTAAGTTCATTTCAGAGAGATTTATCTGTTTTAGAATGGAATGAAGTATTTTTTTCTTGTGATGTAGATGAGGCCTATAATTCATTTTTAAACATATTTAAAACTGTGTATGATCATAACTTTGTTGTTCGTAAAGTGAAGAAAAGAAAACTGCCACGAAAACCTTGGATAACCCCTTCACTGTTAAAAAAGATTAATAAAAAGTATAGATTATATAAAACATTTTGTAAGAAAAGAAACGACAGCAATGAATGTAAATATAAAAAAATTAGAAATAAATTAAACTCAATCCTGCAGTCTGTAAGAAAAAAATATTTTTGTGATTTATTACAGAAGAATAGGAATAATATGTCTAAAACTTGGGAAGTTATTAATGATTTATTAGGAAAGAGAAGAAAATGCCAATTTCCTAATTATTTTCTTAAAGATAAGGACAAGTTAACTGATCGTCAATTGATTGTGAATGAATTTAATTCTTATTTTTCTAGTATTGCTACAAAACTAAAATCTCAACATATTCAGAAACCGAAATGCAATTTTAGTTCATTTTTACGAGATCCTTGTAGCAAATCAATATTTTTTCATCCTACCAATGTAACAGAAGTTTTGAATATTGTCAAATTGCTCAATTCAACCAAGAGCACAGATTTTGAAGGAATAAGTCAGTTCATTATAAAACATGTTATACATTTCATTGTCAAACCTATTGTTTTTATATGTAATCTTTCCTTCTTGTCAGGAAGAGTTCCCAAGAATTTTAAAGTAGGAAAAATCATACCCATATTTAAAAAAGGTGATCCCCACATATTCTCTAACTATCGACCAATAACATTACTTCCCTGTTTTTCTAAGATACTGGAGAAATTAATTTATAATAGGCTCTTTAATCATATTAATAAAAATAATCTTCTGACTGTTTCTCAATATGGTTTTAGAAAAAACTCATCATGTGGACATGCTCTAATTGACCTTCATGATTACATACTCAATAAATTAGATAATAAATTGCATACATTAGGCTTGTTTCTTGATTTGTCGAAAGCTTTCGATGTTATTAACCATGATATTCTCCTCACTAAATTAAAACATTTTGGTATACGCGGTATTGCTTGGGAATGGTTCAGGGACTATTTAAGTGATCGTATTCAATTCACATCATACAACAGCTTTATTTCTGACAGAGAGAGGATCCAGTATGGAGTCCCACAGGGCTCCATGCTGGGTCCTCTCCTATTTTTAATTTACATAAATGACCTTAGTTCTGCTTCATCTTTTTTTCATTTTGTCTTATTTGCTGACGACACAAACCTGATTGCATCTCATAATGATTTTGATAAATTAATGTCAGAAGTAAATAAAGAATTAGAAAAGGTTGTTGAATGGTTTAATGCTAATGAATTGATTATAAATTATGACAAAACAAGTGTACTTTATTTCCATAATAAAACTAATCCTTGCAATATTAATGATGTACAAATATTTATAAACAATATAAATTTAAACGTGTCCTCTTCTGTTAAATTTCTTGGTATCCTTTTGGATGATACTTTATCTTTTCAGGATCATCGATTGTATATAACTAACAAAATATCTAAAAACATTGGTGTTCTTTGTAAATTACGTGTATTTCTGCCTGAAAAAGTATTGTTTATGTTGTATAATTGTTTAATTTTGCCTTACTTACATTACTGTAATATCACCTGGGCCGGTGTGGGAACAACTAAACTAGAACCTCTCCATAAACTTCAAAAGAAAGCTTTAAGAATTTGTACAAACTCCCATTATCAAGCTCATTCACGTCCCCTGTTTTTTCGCTTAAGAACACTCAATATTTATGATATACATAAAATTCAAAGTGCTATTATGATGTATAATGTTTATAATAATTATGTACCTAAAAGAGTTTGTCAAATGTTTATCCTTAATAAATCTGTTCATTCGTATAATACTCGTTCCTGTATCAAATATCATTATCCAAAGGTCTCTACCCAGTTAATGCTTTACTCTTTTAGACATAATGGTCCCCGGATTTGGAATGATTTAACTGATAAGCTAACATTATGCACAACTATATCATCCTTTAAAGTTCTATTGAAGAGACAGTTGGTCTCTTCTTATTTCCCTTAACTCTTTCTTTTTCTTGCAATGTACCATGCATGTGTGTGCGTGTGTGTGTGTGTGTGTGTATCTATAATGTGTAGTATATTATTTATATATTGTTATTATTGTCGTAACGTATACAACCATGTAATCTCGTTATTTATTATTTATGTCAGGGGACTATTTTACTTACAAGTTTTTCAAACTTCCTTTTTAGTCTCCAATTTCTTAATTCCAATATTATAAGATTATGATTGTTTCATGTTACTTTTGTATATATATTATGTTATGGTTTTATGATTGAAATAAATGAACTGAACTGAACTGAACTGATATTACTGTTAAGTTTTTGAATAATGATACTTCGAAAGTTGTTTACATATAATAATTAGCTGACGATGCTGTCCTTTTGCTTAATTGTGTTGAATCCGCAAACAGTTTACTTAAAGAAGTAAAACGATTTAGACACTATGTTTTAAATGTTATATGTTATATGTTCTTTGTTATTTTGTTATTTTGTTATTATATAAATTGGAAAAAATGCAGAAATCAAATCAAATCAAATCAAATCAAAAAGCATAACAATGTCAACTCGATTAGTATTCTTAAAAGGCTTAAAATGGAAAGATGATTCAGTCAAGTATTTGGGCATTTACCTCAGTAAGGATAAAAAGGAATCGTATCGACTGAACTGGAATATGAAATTTGAAAAAGTAAAATCAACCAGGAATGTTTGAGAAAAGAGAAATTTTAACTATTTATCGTAAAGTTGTTAATAATTTCACAATTTGTGTATATCGCTTCAGTAGTATAGATTCCTCCGAAACTGCTTGTGCTTGATTTATAATTTTCTTGGAAGTCGAAAAGAAATAAAGTCAAAGGTCGGACTAAATAAATACAGCTGAAAATACAGGCCTAGGTATAGTAGATTTACATTCCAAAGTTCAATCCCTGCATTTGACATGGTTAACAATTTAAATATTGGTAAATAGCCATGATGCACCTTGGAAATACATGTTTATATATTGGATTGAACAAATATGTCCGTTGTCTTTAATATTAAAAACAAATTGTTCTCGTAAAGATATGTTGATACTATTGTCCAAAACACAATATGCCTGATTTTTATGTTAAATTTGCTTGCATCATGGAGTGAACTTACACATGTAAATATGATGAATTTTAAAATGTAAAAATGTTCGAAATTAAGTATCATGGTAAAATACTAGTAATATAAAACTTGACAATTAGACAACATATTTCAAAAATTGGTTAACCAAGTGGATTTTTATAATTAAAGATATTATAGAAAATGGACATTCTCGAAATCGTACTTGGTTCGAAATCAATTTTTGTTTGACTTCATGTATTCGAAGCTAAAGAAACGATTATGGTAATGACATTATTGAAATCAGAACAGGTGATGCTATTAGATTGTCAACAATGAAATCAAAACATTTGTATAGCTTATTGTGTAAATTTTGATTGGAAAAAGATATTTAAATCTAAATTCAAAGTTATAAAACAACAGTAAAGTGAAATAATTCTCTTTCAAAGCAGTTCACTTTATACTACCCTTCAGATATCATTTATGTAAATGGAAAGTTGTAAGTTAAAGTGCTTTTTTTGTGAAATAACAGAATCGTTTGTTCATGTTTTGTTAGAATGCCCCCAAAGTAACATTATTCTGGAAACGCATCGTTGCATTTATTCACTGTAACAATGTAACTTTAAACAATCACTGATATTAATTGAAAAAAAAAACATTTGATTCTAATTATTCAATACAAAAGATATGAATATAGTCATTACATACGCACAATACGCAATATATATAAAATGTATATGTTAAATTACTTTCAAGGGAAAACGTACAATAGCTTTTTGATATGGCACATTTTTAAAAACAAACTGCATTAAGAGAAAATCACATTATTACATGCTCCTCAACGTTTTACTCCGGGACTTTCACAGATCATAATATTTTTTTCCTTTTCTTTTTCTTTAATTTAAAGTGAATGATTATGAATTACTAGATCCCATATTTAAAATAAAAAAGCCGAATAATAATTACAGCTGCAGATGTGGAGTCGAACCTATACATTTATTAATGTTATTATTGCTTTTGAACGTGTTTACATTCATTTTTATAAATCCTTTTAATGTTGTAAATGTAGTTGAATTGTAAAGTATTGAATAAATTACTTCTGAAGAGCAAACAAAAAATCCATGCAGTTCAGGAAATTCAATCGTGTTTCACTTGCTTTGACACATCCATCAATGTTTTTTTTTTAAATGTCTTATCAATCTGTCTCTTGGTCCATAAAAAATGAAAATTAATTGTCGTGGGAAAAACGTGGAATCCCGACAAAGAACCCGTTCCTGACCCAGATTGATGCGGTTGCAGTGAATGTTTTAAATATATATACATAACTGTAGTTCGTGCAGGCATGCATGTTTTTGAATAGTATAATCAGAAGGAACTGTTGAAGAAAAAACATGACAACATGGGGGAACCCCGATACAAAGCTATAGAGCTGATAAAGAACCCGTACCCGGCCCGTACCTGACCCAGATGATTGTACGCAGTTGCACTTATTGCTTTAAATTAAACAATGTAGTTTATAAATGTATACAGGTTGCTGAATGGTATCTCTCCCCCCCCCCCTCTCTCTCTCTCTCTCTCTCTCTCTCTCTCTCTCTCTCTCTCTTTGTCTCTCTCTCTCTCTCTCTTTGTCTCCGCCTCTTTGTATCTTACTCTTCGTCTCTCTCTCTCTCATTTTCTTTCTCTGATGTTTCATACCTTCTATTAAATTGTTTTTCTATCTGTTTCTCTGTCTCTCTCTGTTTCTCTCTCTCTCTGTCTCTCTCTCTCTCTCTCTCTTTCCCCCGCTTTCTCTCTTTCTCTCTCTCTCTCTCTCTCTCTCTCTCTCTCTATTCATATATATCATTACTTGGACCGCAATGCTGCGTGTATGACCGTATAGGTCCGTGCTTATCTGGTTCACCTTTTGTTAACCATATTAGGGGATAAATTGCATGCACGCTGAATAATTTGTGTTGCAATTCGGTAACAGCTATTATAGGGGGTTCCCCCTTCCGCGCCCAATGGCTGTTTATGCACAAACAAACATCTATTCAAACTAAAAAGTAGTACACTGATACTGATGACAATCAATACAACCACGGACCTAACACAGACTGCATACATGTACGTGACTTGTGCAAATATTCATAACAACTTCACAATGCACAATCAAATGCAAAAGAAACACAAAATGTTATACTTCTAAACATATTAAACACAGAAATGTCAGCCTATAAGAGCTAACCAAATAACAATTATTAAAAGAAGGAACATTAAACATGTATTCGTCTTTTTTAAAATTTCTTTTCTGCATACCCAATTAAGTGTACACGAAGTTCATGAAGAAAAAGAATAGAAGGTTTTAAGATAATTATGGATGAGATGCCGTGTGTTAAACAAGAAAACACCACACCCTTTTAAAAAAATGACTGTCAAAATAAAAAGATATATCTTATTTGGTTTGATGTCTACGCTATTGGTCTTCGAAGTCAATTAATACGTCTGAGTAATTACACAAACACCGAAAAGAACACGTTCACACGATGAACAAAATAAGCATCTAAATACAAAGAGCAAAACAGTACTGGCTTTCCAAATAAACATAATAACATAACTACAATCATGCTTGCTATAAGATCCACTTAAATAAAGGAAATTAATGCATTTCTTACCACATAGTAAGCAGTTTATCTGAGTTTATGTTGGAATAAATGCGGAAAATCAATATAATAGATTTATATGAAATAACTATTTTTTGTCATATCTTGATTTCTTTGGACAACATCGAAATTGAAACCGAAACGTCATGTCTGAACTGTCATCAATATTATTACGGTAGAGCTGTACAAATATTTATTCTGTCAGATTGTGGTGGGTGTATAGGAGCCATGTTTGATGACGTTTTCTATCAAAAGCAATAAGATCGAACTTAAGAGAATAGAAAAACAAGTCATGCACAACTTATCGAATTATTCGATCATGATTTAAACCGAAGTATGAATAAATGAGGAAAGTGCTTTATTGGTCATTAGTTATCATTTTATGTGTACAATATAGTTTAATTCTAAATAAAAAACGTTCTTCATGAAGTGAGCCATAAATTTTGGTAACGTATTGGGGATAATATTGTTTTCATGGTATTTAAAATATTGTTTCGAATTTTTCAAAGTGCAGCACATTATTATACAAAATATTTCGTAATTTAGTAAACACTTACCAGACACGTCCCGCATAGTCAGACAGAGTGAGTCCTTGTAATTCATCGATGGAAACTTCATGGTCCACGGATTTCTTCCCTCGTTCCTCTAGCAACAATCTGCAGCAAATAAAAGGCAATGATAATTAAAAAGAATTATGAAATTTATCACCATTTAATGATTAAACATTATGATAATGGTGGGTGTATCCAGTTTAAAGCAAAGCCGGCGTAAAATCATAGCCCTCATCAGGGGCGTACGCAGGGGGGGGGGGGGGTGTTATGGGGGTTCAAACACCCCCCTTTGGTATTTTAATGTATGTAAACCCCCCCTAAAAAAACCTAAAACCCCCCCCCCCCCCCCCTTTGGTTTTATTTTTTTTATTATTTTTCGGCCGGCGCGATTTTCAAATTTTCGGGAGCAAAATATTTTAAAACCCCCCCCCCCCTTGAAAAAATCCTGCGTACGCCCCTGGCCCTCATTGTATGAAGATCCCCGGCATCCCCCCCCCCCCCCCACCTCCAGAAAAAAAAAAGATCAATATAATTTATATTGGGGCTTCATGACAACGAAGGGCTGCCCAGATAGCAGATTCTTCCAACAGGATATTTATTGTTTTCTTTCGGTTTTGGAGCAAAATACAAACAAACTAAAAAACAAATATATAAATAAATGAACAAATGAATAAAAATGAATTTATTAATAAATTGAAAATAATAATAATAATAAATGAATAATTAACTACCAGGACCATAATGCCTGTACATGTATATTATGAATGATGATCATCCGTATTGTTTCATATTTTGCATTTGCAATAGATTTATCCTACGTATGCAGTTACTGATCAAGAGATATTGAAAAATGACAAGATGAAATAATTAACCAACGTACGTAAGTTTGTTCTCCCTTGTGAAAGGCTCATCTTCTCCAACAGACTTCAAACTACTGAACGGCGATAACTCCTCCGAACCCGTCATCGACACGTTGTCGATGTCGGAGCTCGCTCTGTCCCGTGTATCCTCATCCAATGAGGACTGACTATCCGTGGTCGTGGCGGTGAATCGTGCTTCGACGTCGGTTTCGTCCTCCGATGGTTGACGAAGGACATTTTCCGCCGGAATTTCAAGTATCTAGGCAAGGAAAAATGATCTTTCGTTTTCAGTAAATGTAGGTTTTTATATATTTTTTTTTTGTGTGTGTGTTTTTTATGTTTCTTTAATTATAACTGTTATTTTTGTTTTTTAATCGTCAATCCCCAGATAGGACAGAGCACTTTTTCCATACATTGCAGATTATTGTGAAACTTAAATTTAATTCCGCCCAACGAAAATAATAAAGTAATACAGCAGTGGTTTGATAAGGAGCTTGGTACAATAAACATTTTGGATTTTTTTTTTTTTTTTTTTTTTTTTTTTTTAAACTTACCGTGTTTATGGGTTTCTTGGTTGGCTGAAATGTCGATATGGCTCTCTTAGTTTTGTTGGTTGAAGGTCTACGCATCAAACTCGCTGATTTGCTTCTATCACGGAATGGGGTTTCCAATCCCATCATTATACGGAGAGCACTCTCCCACTCATCCATGCATTCACTGTGTATGAAATAGATAAATTATACTTAAAACACTGCCAAACAACATTTCCAAGTTAAATGGTAAGCCTAAATGTATTGCGAGGAAGAAAACGCACATCTAATACGAGTAAGAAGAAACAAGAACAAGAAGAACAAGAAGAAGAACAAGAAGAAGAGAGGAGAACAAGAAAAAGAAGAAGAAAAAAAGAGGAAGAAAAAGAAGGAAAAGAAAAAAAAGAAAACTATAATACGTTTAAAGACTCACACAAAATGTATCCTTAAATAATAACACTATCTATTACTCATTTTTTGAATTAAATCGATACAGTCTGGTTTACTGAAGTATAAGTGTAACTAAAGGTTTTCGGAATATGTTCTCCAAAACATTATACATAAACGTGGCTTCATATTGTTTCGTATAATTGCAGGAGGTATTAAACATGCATTTTCATTGAGGTCTTACAAACCACCCTTTAATGGGTTCATAATTTTCCCAATGAAAAAGTTTTATTCTCGACAGGTTGACATGCATTTTCGTGATACAATTGAAATAAATAAATATGGATTGAGATAATTTTGCAGGGGAAAACAAAAATTGGAAAGTTACAATATTGTGATATAATAATATGTCATGACTATATATTTCAAAAAACTGAATCTACCTTGAATCGTTGAAATCAAGTAGCATGTACATAGGTGCAACCTTAGGTCCATATTCCACGCAGAGATATTTCTTGTCGGGCTCTGAAATCCTGGTGATTTCACGAGGTTTATACCTCATAAATTCCTCTCCTTTCGCTGAATATAGGCAGAGGAGACTCTTCTCAGAAGATGATGTTCTAAAATAACTCTTCCTCTTTATCTAAATAAGAAGTTGAGAAAAATACCATATTGGAAATGAATAAATCTGTGTATATATGATACGAAAAATACGGACAGAATCACACGAATTGATACAAAACGAGGTATAATTATTCTTCAGTCTTTATAAGCTCCTGCTGTATTGTTCACAAATCTTATTAACAATCTGCATGAAATTATAAGTTTATTTTGTTCAATTCATAACATAAAGGTTTCATTTTCATGTTTATTTATGTAAAATGTTTTACTTTGTTGTAAATATGATATTATTAGTCTTCGGATTACATTCATTTTTTGAATTTAACTGTTTGTATCAATAAAACCCAAATTTAACTGAATCGTTGTCATCTTTGCTATGCTTATTCTGTAAATGATTACCCAATTCAAAACTTTCAAAATGCTGGTCGGACAGGCATGAGATAACCTCATCTAGGTATTTTACTTATCTTTCGAGTTTTATAACGTATAATGTCTCGATAAATACTTTCTGTCGACGTTGCAAAATATACAATACTAAATATTACATTAACAATAAGCCTTATCATGCTAGTATTATAACTCATAAACAGATTGATGTTATAGAAAGTATACAAAAAAAGAGCATGTAAGATAATATTAGGATCAAATTATATTCCATTTGACAATGCTCTTGAAAGACTGAAATTGCCAACCCTTGTGACTTGATGAGAAAAACTCACCAAAGTTCTGGCTATTGCACTAGGAACGAATGTATTGTGCAACTCATGGTTACCTCACAGAAAACCAACAAATACAATTTACGAAGCGTCAATAAGTATCAAGGATTTTCTTGTAAAACTAAGCGATTCCAGAACAGTGCTCTTTCCAATCTCACACGTATGTTAAACTTTCACTTAATGCAAATCCAAGCTTATAATTGCCTTGAGAACTGTGCAATATTATTATACTTTTAACAGTGGGGCAATATCAGTCAGTCATTTTAAATTCCGTATATATTTTACTACCTACCAAAATTTAAATTATGCTGGTACACATTATATTCATTCCATTTTTCCTGATCTCATGTTGCTATTTTATACTTGCATTGTATTTTACCTGCACTGTCAAAGCATGCAGAATTCAGTGTATGACTGCCATTCATGTCTTTAATAAACCTTGATTGAATTGAATGTTTACACAGCCTTTAAATCTGCCAATAGATATTATCATGATGATATAAAACATGAAGGGAAAAAACGAAAAGTACTGAACGGTTTTGGGAGTCAAATTGTTTTCCTTCATTATCATACAGGCAATCTCGACATAAAACCTAAAGCAACCAGATTTTTAATTTTAACACGGATCCGGCATTAAAATAATAATAATAATAATAATAATAGTAGTAAAAATAATAATGATAGTAATAATAATAATAATTATGATAATAACAGTGCTTATCGTTTTCAAAATCTACTTTGAAAAATCAATATGTCAAACAATAAGCATAGAATAATGACTTCTTTATAATTCAAACAAAATTGAAAAAAACATGCAAGATGAATTGGTTGAATAAATTAATATACCAACTGCTTTATTTCTTAAAATGTGCATGGAGGGTAAATTTACCTTGCTTTGTACATCCTGGATGTCTGATGTAAAGTAAGAAAACTCGGCCTCTTTCGTCGCATCAGTAGGCCTATACATCAGAGTAAAATCATCGGGATCCATCATCTTAGAATCGCTCCTGTTTATTAATAATTATTGTTATCATTATTATCATTTTGTTTGGTTTTTAATAAAATACATAAGAAATAAGGAAACGGACAATTGAGCAAGTTTCGATAAAAGATAACACGACCATTGGAACATAAGAGACAGAACAGATCCTCCCTCTCTCTCACATGGTGCACCCGCAAACCTACTGTATATTATATATCTTGTTTTCTTAAAGGGTTGTTTCCTTTTTCGCCACTGCCTTCCTCACTTTTTTTAATCCACCTCATGTATTGTCATATATTATTTTTCTGTATATATATGTATTTTTATCGTTTGATCTCTTGAGGAGAAATATATGAAACTGAAAAACTGAAACTGAAACTGATGATTAACCTAATAACTGTGACAAAAAGCCTGTCCCAGTACTAGTGTTTGTAAACATAAATTACTTTTGACAAAATCATTCAATTTAAAAATGACAACCTTACGTTATCACAAATATTGGTACAAAAAACAAATCTCCCATCAATTAATTCTTAATTAGGGAAAGAAAATAAAAGAAGGGAGAAACAAAGGACTCTGAACAGGAAGAAATAAAGGAATATAGAGTCCTACTGTGGAACATAGAATGAAACAAAACGAGAGAAATCTGAATTTCGAAGAGAACATCACATTTCTAGAAAGTTGATTATCTGCCCTTTCATATGACACCTTAATCAGGAAAAATCCGCCAGGAATAACAAAGTTCTGTTTGTTTAAAGTAAATCTTGCATTTCCATAATTTGATTAAACGAATTTGTTTTCACTAGCTGCCTGTCGTAGCAACAAATGGAGTTGACAAAAGAATTCATTTCCTTGACGATCAGCCATGCACAAAGAAGTCGAAAGACTTCATGCATGGCTAATTATGATGATAATGATAATAGTACTGAATATTGTAATGATAATAGTACTGATATAACTATGATACCACTTTTCCAGGATCATTGACTGTTATATATTCTATGAATAATTATTATAGAGTATATAATTATTGGCAACTTAGGTATTCATGGATGAGAGATGGTGTTTTGTTTGAATTGGGTGTTATGCATTTTTTGTTAATGTAATGTTATGGACAATAACGGATATATGACGTTAAATGGAGCTTGGAGGCCCCGTGTAGAGGAGAGTCGATCACCACCTTTGATATTCGTATAAGAGTATATATAGGCACACCCCCAATCAGTTATACCGGGAGGAGAGACCCGAGGGTTACAGTGATTCAGATCGCTTTTCGACTCCCAGGCGCAGGTGACGTCAAATACTTAATAATAAGAAGAAGAAGAAAAATAATAATAATAATGATACACCTCTGGGCTCTGGCCTATAAACACCATGATAATAACTTGCACTGTATTATTTCTTGCAATGCCAATGGTCCCTGCCGACTACAACTTCTGAACAACTTCTGTAACTATTCTATTGTTTCACATTTTAAGCATTATCAATTCGCACTAAAAGAATAAGATATAGCCCAGTATTATCAGTTATTGATCATCCTAATTTGAAGAGTTGAAATAACATTTTACTACTTTGTAAAATCACAGGCTGGTATCAATTGATTCTAATGCAGCGACTTAGATTAGAAGTCAGATCAGAGATAATTATTTGAGGAAAAGAGGGAAAAAATACAAATGCAAATGTAGAATAATGCTGCTTCTAAAGTAAAGTAGTCTATAACAACATTGTTGAAGGAAGGACATATCATAGCAGTATCAAACAGAAAAAGAGAGGGAAAAAAATACTCACCTATCTCGACTTTGACAATCAATATGGCTTGATAAAAACAAAACCCTCAGCTCCCGCGTAAATGGTTACAAAAAGGCTGGTGCATGTATTCCACAACAACAAGAAATGAGTCACTATTAAACGTCCCAGACAGTACTGTTCTGTGTTCATCAAACCATAACACATTTTGTTGAAATTCATGAAAATATATCCTTTTCGAAGTTTTAGCCGTTGTATCTGTATCCATTTAAATGCAAGTCTGTATATTGATGAACTCCATGAAAACTACTACATTATGTCAAATGCATAATATTGGTATATAGTTTGCAGGCAGCGACTTTGGCTAGCGACGTGTGTTATAACTTGAGCGGCGACGTACGGGTACAATAGGTCGTCAACGGAGAGAAAACTCGCGCACAGTGATGGGAGCAGCGCACAGTGATGGGAGCAGCGCACAGTAGCCGATATACTTTGGATTGTCTAGTAGTCTGCACGGAGATATACTCCTTGGTCTATGACGTCAATGGCGGGGCCAACTTTCTGTGGCGAGTAGAGTAGGAGCTAGGGAGGGGGAGGGGGTAATCTAATATTTTTTTTAAAAGTAAAACAAAATACAAGAAACAAACAGTAAACAAAGTTGAACAAATATATTTTTTTTTAAACAATCGAAAAATTATAGTCATCACATTTCTTTATTTTTTCTTTTACTTCAAAATTAATTCTCCTCACCCCTAACAAGATATCAAAGAATTGTTTCCACATTGGCAGGTGCTTCTTGGGTCTAATTTTCCGCCTGGGTCAAACATGGGAGGGGGCATATTCCTTGTTTTACTACAACTATGTCATGTAGGCCTTCATATAAAATATATCAGATTCTGTTTGGTGGGGGAGGGGAGCATCCCCTGAAACCCCTGAACATAACAATTCTATGTAGATCTGAATTATCAACTCTTGAATCCGGTTCATTACATTTTTTCCCCTCTTTTTTCATTAATTCGTTTCCTCTAGAATGACACATTATCATGATACGTCAGTTTCGCGGAAGGCCAAGGTCTGTGTTTGTCCCAGCACTACGTACGTACTGGAGTGCCGGTATATAGGTTTCGAAATCACACTATACAAATAGCATTCGGCCCTGACTCAAATATTGTCAAAGATGCTTATGAATTGTTATCATCTGAGTTTAGAGACAGCAATGGAATGTATTCTCATCTGAGAAGAAGAATAGAGAAAATCAGTGTTCAATGAGTAATCATTCTAAATGAAAAGGGATATTTCCAAAAGAAGATTGCGCAAGTTTTTTAATCAGTGGAGAGAGAAAGAGGAGGGATGGACGTTTCCCCTAGATAAAGCAAATGACACATGGTATCATGATACTTTAGTTTCGCGGAAAGCCAAGGTCTGTGTTTGTCTATACCAACACTACGTACGTAGGTTTTAAAATCATGCTTTTGAATTTATTATCATCTGAGCTTAGAGTCAGCAATGGAATGCATTCTCATCTGAGAAGAATAGAGAAAATCAGTGATCAATGAGTAATCATTCTAAATAAAAAGGGATATTTCCAAAAGAAGATTGCGCAAGTTTTTTAATCAGTGGAGAGAGAAAGAGGAGGGATGGACGTTTCCCCTAGATAAAGCAAATGACACATGGTATCATGATACTTTAGTTTCGCGGAAAGCCAAGGTCTGTGTTTGTCTATACCAACACTACCGTACGTATGTAGGTTTTAAAATCATGCTTTTGAATTTATTATCATCTGAGTTTAGAGTCAGCAGTGTAACGCATTCTCTGAGAAGAAGAATCGAGAAAATCAGTCTTCAATGAGGAATCATTTTAAAGATAAAAAGGGATATTTTCAAAAGAAGATTGCGCAATTTTGTTAATCAGTGGAGAGAGAAAGAGGAGGGATGGACGGAAGGACGGAGGGACACAGAGATAGAGAGAGAAAGGGAGAGAGATAGATATATATATATATATATAGAGAGAGAGAGAGAGAGAGAGAGAGAGAGAGAGAGAGAGAGAGAGAGAGAGAGAGAGAGAGACGGGACAGACAGATGAACAAAAATGAGATTTGCTATTGCGAAATCAACGAAATCATATATAGGGATTTTTGTTAATGACTGTTCTTTATCTAGGTTGAGATGGGGCATATATTCTTCCGATCTAATCGTTTTGCAAATGGTTCCAAATTGACCAAAGTGGTTTCTGGTTATACCACATGAATAATGGGTACGGTGGATGGGAGCAAATACATGTATATAAATTGTTTTTCCTGTATACAAATTCTATAATGATTTGAACAATAAATAGAGCATGATGGGAATATACTAAGGAATAAAGGATGAAATGGTGAGAGTCTTTCGCAGGTTTAGAATAGTTATTGGACTCTGTCAATATTTCTGAAGATTTTTTCGAAATTGTTGATAGAAGAAAGATAAATGAATTATCATTATTTTAGCCGAGCATTCCGCCTATTCCCCCAACCACGTTAATATTATTTTCGATTTTCACGAGACAGTTCTAGCTTGAACTTTTCATTGTTGAAAAGGAAGTTAGGAACTGGCCTTACCAGGGCTTGGTAAATCACCGCATGGACAGAATGAGATAGCAAAGGGAGAAGTGTGGGGTGTGTGTGTGTGTGTGTGTGTGTGTGTGAGAGAGAGAGAGAGAGAGAGAGAGAGAGATAGAGGAGGGAGGGGGAAGTAAGAGGGGGGGCTAAAATGACAACCAGGACAACCACCCCTGCACGAATGAACCCATTTAATGCTCTGTTTTGCTAAGCTGTCAAGGCGTGAACAATGTTGCAATGTTGCAATATTTTTTTAATTGTAATAATGATGATAATCATCATAATGAACACTGTAAACATTAAAAATAACAGTTGGGTAAAAGATTGGGCAACGTGATAGTGATCTTGTTTCCGGCCAACTCATGTCAGACTTTTTAAAAACAATGCACAGGGTGCAAGAGGGTGAGGTAAACAAAAATTAGGGCTGTTTGATATATCAGTGATAGATTCTATACTTTTTAAACGTTCAAGTTGAGTATTCACCTGTATTCCTTGGAGGTAAGGGGGATGGAGGGAGGAAATAATGGCACCGTTTGGGTAAACACCTTACGAAGATTAAACCTTTATTTGATCTGAGGAAACAAATCTCACTGGCCTTTTTTCCTTTCTGTCATGTTCAACAATGCGAGATGGAAGAAATAGTAATAGTATCTGATGATGACAACTCCACCCTGGACAGCAAAATGTTCTCAAGTTGAGAAAATTAACAGCAAATTATTTTGATAGCATCAATAGCATATAGTTCTATACATCATTATCACCATTCTCTCTATTTTCTTGTTTGTTTGTTTGTTTTGTTTGTTTGTTAGTTTGTTTCGGGGAAATAACCGCCTAAAACAAGAAAGGACTTCATTTCGCTTCGTCAATTCCTCCGCCTCTGAGAGACTATACATTTGTGATCCCCCTCCCAATTATCTGGACTAAATTAGTGATTGGGGTAAAAAAATATGTTTCCATCCTTCCACTTATTCAGGAAATTTTCTGGCTCTGCCAAGAGTGCTGATGAAAGGGTCGCGAATTCAGGTATTCAAACTAACTGCATGGTGAGAGAGATCATACCACATTCAGAGCCATACAGTTTCTACAACTTGATTTCAGTTTGTCAGAACATGGCGTGTATTCTTTGTGTTTTTTGTGCTTTCCAAACAAAGCAGTATTTCACCATATTGTGCCCAACTCGAACCGGGTCGACCAAACTCTCAACGGAGCTACCCACAGTCCTCTGCAGGCAGATTTACTCTTTTGCCTCAAACAATGCCTCTGATCTTTAACTAAAGAAAATCAGGCAAAGTGATTTGTCATATGACCATTGCGATAACTAGACAATGACTTGTCTAAAGACTTCAAATAATATGCGTATTTACTTCCTCTCCCCCTTTTTTAAACACATCAAAGGGAAACCCCCTTGCATATTCCCTCGCTCATTCTGTTTGTTCTTTACATATTTTTGCTTGTGATTTCACCACTCATACCTCAGTCACACCGCTAAACCGATTCCAAAACGACTCTAAATTTACTGGATTAGTTATTCGTTTTTTTTTAACGTAAATTGTTGTTTGGTGTGTGATCGCTCTGGTGTCGGTCCCACCGGTGTGACTGTCTGACATGGTGAGATGTTGAGAACAGTTCAAGTTTACAAGTTTGTGTTCTCTCCAGACTTTGAACCCGTTGAATAGAGTGCAAACAAAGGCACATTTTCAAACAAATCGTATACTATAGTTCCGGCTTTTGACAGGGGAAGCACTAGCATATATTCTACATTTATTTCATCATATCTTTTATTTGCATCTTGTTTGTTTTCCCGATCGGGTCTAATCATGTATCAATGAATGAGATATAAAACGAAAGTAAAACCTGGTCACGTTATAATGTACACATGGCTAGACAAACCAACCTGTCTATTATTCGAAATGTCTGAAAGGCCATGCCGGAGTTTGCAAGATGTATAATAATAATGGTAATAATAATAATAAAGAAACAAAATCATCATAATAATAATAACAATGTACCATACTTAAATAGCTCATATCACAAATAACTCCCTGTATTCGTAGACAACTTCCGGTAATTCTGACAGACACGAAAGAACGATAATGATCGAATAATTTTACATGACTATAACAATATCCAAATATTTAATATAACAAATTCACAATATGAAGTATACCAATATACCAAGAACAATAATACTCGTAATCATTAATCAATTTCCAGTTACATGTTGCTGATCTAAAGAGGTAAGAGTTAGACCATGAACCTGAACAATGATGCCGTTGATGATTTCTTTTTTTCTTTTTTCTTCACCATTTCATGCTAAAAGAAATGACTAACTATATAATGGTAAACTAATACAAAAAGCGTGAAATATCTCAGAAAAATTGCCTCTATTCTACCTTTAAAAATTACCGCCAGATCTATTGATGTAGTACACGTATCATTATGATATATCATAAATTGCCTGGTATGTATAGAAAATTTGTTATTGAGTGGCAGTGAAATAAATTGTTATTTCTGTACAAAATGAGACTGGTAACTATTATATACTTCTGAATATACTTCTGAATGATAAACGCCTATAAACCAAAACAACAACAACAACAACAAGAAACATATGTATCTTTATGTTTGTTTCTTTATTATTTTGACTTCATCCAGAAGCCTGAGGACTGCAGACAAATATATATTTTTTAAATGGATATTCGTTTCCTCATTGTGTAACTGTCAACAGGTGGGAATAATGTATCATTAAACCGGAAAATATATAGACGAAATATAGAAGGAAAAAATAAATAAATAAATAAAAAATGAAAAATAACAAAAGCGAACAGAATTCCTAGAAGTAATAAAATATACATAAATGTCAGACCCGCTGAAACAACTAGAATTCGAATAATGATTTAAAACGCACATTTTTAATCAGTTGCATAGAGAGTAACACAATGATTTGAATAAGGACGGGCACTTAAATGTAAGAATACAATTACACCACAATGACATCATGGGTCATAGATATTATTCCTTCATAACCAGTGGAATAATGAAACAAAGTGAAAACTATGGTGAATGATTTTAAAGTCAAATTCCTAACGATATAATTTACTCATACAGTCAAACCTGGTTTAGTGACCACCTGTCTACATTTTTTGTTTCCCTTGAGAATGGTTTCTCATTGAAACATGTACTGAAGGAACTTTCTGCATAGACCACTTTTAGTGCTTCCCTTGGGCGGTCGCTATGGATAGGTTTGACTGTATTTACAAAACTGAGAGTGGAAGAAAATGTGTTTTACAAGAATAAACACCTCCCGTCATGACGTCATTATGTACAATCAATACCTGATGGGAATTCCCCTTCAGTCTAGAGGTCAATCAAGGGTCATTTTTGATAAAAGATACATAGTGGCTTTTTCAAATATAAAGGCATTGTAAATTTCTACTCTATAGTCATGTTATACGTAAAGAGTAATATGGGCTTTCATTTTTTAGCCATATATACTTTTATTTCGATGCATCACATGCATCTTCAAAATTCTAACCAAATGCATGATTTCAGAGATAATTATTTATTCCTCCTGAGAAAGAAGTCATCACACTCTTACAATACAAGTTCATCAGGATGATATCAGTTATCATAAATGAGTTTTATGAAACGTTTTGCATTTATTTCCCTGCAGACCACTTTCAGTGTCTATTGGCAACTAAATTAAATCTCCTAGTACACGTCCGAGAAAGGTGTCCTGCATTAAGAAGACACAGAAGCTATCAAACAGGTAGATTTTTGTTGTTGACGTGCCATAGAAATCATTTCTAATTGTCATAATCTTCTTGCCACCACAATGGAAATCTATAGTTGGCTCATCATTAGTTAATTATTAACCCAGGAATGTGTTATGTGGTTATTCTTTTTATTCACTTGTGGAGGGGATTGTAAACGTCCCATATTTTGGATAATAGTTTAATTAATAAAAAATATCAAAGTATTGTCTTTGCCTTGTGATGCAGCTGATGATAGTTATAATGTCAGCACTCCGTTTCCTCGTTACCAGTGGTAGTTGTGTTACCAGAGACACTAGAATTACCTTCGACATTAACATGCCTAGTCTCTTGGACATCGGACATCAGCGACCTCGGAATGAGGTGAAGGAGGTGACCTTCAGATGAATCTCCTCTAAGGGCCTCTCTCAATATCTGCGCAACCTACCAATAAACCAGTCACACAAAAAGTATTAACAGTAATTAAAGTGAAAATATGTCATGGCATATATATATATCTATAAAAAGAAATATGCGGTAATGATTCTATAATTATAAAGCCCAAATTTGACGGTGATTGATTCACACCTGTTGATTTAAGTTTGCGGTTTTCAATGGTGATTGATTGCGCTCAAAGCAAAATGAATTTCTCTCGATGACTTCCCTTTCATATAGCATGTAACAATGAATTGTGTTGACTGTTAATCTTTTAGATCATTCTACTGCGCGTTTCCAATCTTTGATCAACAAGAAGTCAGTGGAACTGACATCATCATCTATATTTGTAAAATGTATGATGAAATACACCTAATGTTAATATACTTCCTCTTACGCACCTGTGTATTTAGTAAGTGTGTATAGTTGGCAAGGCCTGTAATGCTAATGTACATGCATTGGTAAATTAAAATGATGCCTTTACACCCATTAAACCAATCCAATAGTGTTTCTTGAATTTTCTACGGTATTCATCTGAAGAAAAAAAATTACATGACTAACAAAAGCAATTAGATTTCACGAATATTATGCATATTCCGTAAATCTTTTTAAAAAGAGGGATAGATGGAAATTGCTTGATAGTTTATGTGCTGTCATTAAACGTTCAAGGTTTAGAGTTTTAAAAGGCCCTGAAAAAGATTGATGAGTACCATCTTATGTCTTTATTATGAATAGTGAGTTTGCCAGTTTTGCCACTTCACCCCAAATTAATCGTGTAATAGATTGACGCCCCTGGCTTAATATGTTATAGGTTTTCAATTGATGAAATAGAGGTGATAAAAAATATTAAAAATTACCTGGTGTTCATGGGTTCCTACTGGTATTGGTGCGCCGTTGATCTCCGCGATAGCAAGCCTCGACTGATTGCAGGCTTTCAAGGCAGCTTCCACTGCGTCAGGTCTCTGTGTCTGATTTCAGTGGTGAACAAAACATACAATAACAGTATAATTTATGATTACATAGATGGTGGTTATGGACAGGGGTGGATCAGGGATTTTGCAAAAAAGTGGGCGAAACACGAAAAATTTGATGCCAAACTATAAAGAGGATATCATTTTTTCAGCTCCCCCTTCTTTTTTTTTAATCCTAAAATTCCTTGCCAGAAAGGGGCTTCATCTTAGAAGAGAAGGGCATTTTTGGGGTTGGGGTTTCGAAAGGGAGAGGGTGGCTGTGCCCGCCAGCCTAAATGAGGTTCCGGTCACGTGATTGCATTGTGAAAGAAGCTTTCTAGGAGTTGATAGGATAGGATGATTATACAGTAAATACGAGTAACAAATTGACTGACTCTAGAAAATAATCACAAACAAACCAAAAAAGCCCAGGGTAAATGGAACTTCACAATCATGTGACATCGCAGCAACATAAGCAATCATCATGATACAGACAATATGGACGGCAATGATAAGCAGACCTATTTACATAGACAGAATAGTTATGAATAGGCCTACTATGAACCAAACAATAAGTATGTAAAAGAAGACTATTGATAATACCTTTTGTCCTGTAATATCGATGGTCAGTTTTTGGTCTCCATCTTTCATCGTGATTCCGACACCTGGTGTAACAGCCAACATTATCTGATACATGAAGAAAAAATATACTATAAGTATACTCTGGTGAAACAGTGTTACTATGAGGAATAAATAGACAAAAACACAACTGTATGGTAAAGACTATAAACAATCACACATGGGCCATTTAAATAGCGTAACATATCAACTATTTATTTTAATAAAACAATATCTCAACGGCAGTATTGAAGGGTATTGAAATTGCATATGAGTTTACTATATTATTATGTTACAAAGAGATTAACAATTACAACACGAATGATCAATTTCAAGATTTCATCGCATAGTGAAAAGTTCTACAAACCGTTGGTGCTACAGTTGTTTGGATGTACTCTCTGAATTGTTCAGCGTCCTTGAAAGTAGTCCCTTCACCAGTAGTCCCCTCACCAGTTCTCAAGGCGATGGTGTCTCCAGGGTGCAATTTGCTATCGGGCACCGATTGGGTCACACTGAGAGAAAATTAAATAAGATTCCCTTTTTGCAAATACCAAAGAATCCATGTTGTGTAAATAATGGCTGGACGAAAACGATGGAAGCGATGAAAAGCGTATCCAGATTAGAAGCAAGGGGGAGGGGACTGCCCTTTAGAACGAGACTAAACCAAAAAAGGGATAAAGTCGGTATATTCCGGAAATTCTTAACCACCCCCCCCCCCCCCTCTCATTCCTGAGCTTTGTTTTAATTCTTGAAATGATAGTTTAAGGAACTTAAAAACTATCTCATGTTATTCTTTTTTATTCTTTGGCCAAGTACTTCTGGCATTATATGACAGGAGTTAACTTCCTCCTAGCCTTGGTATATAAGAAAAGAGTTAACCTTATCCTAGGTAGTCAAGCAATTAACTCGATATCGCATAACCAATAATAATAATGAATCCCTTTTTTCCTTCGCCAAATAAAAACCATAAAGAAATTTAAAAAAGATCAAAAGTGGAAAACATTTCTGATCAAATATAAATTCGATGTGATAATTTATCAAAATGATCAAGTGTCCTTGTTTTTCCTCTGAATTCATTTTTGCCGCATTCCCCCTTCTTTCTTTATTTTTTTTCGGAGGGGGGGGAGGAGGAATTTCCCTTTAGATTACAAAAGAGATAAAAGCTACAAATATTTAATGAGTGAAGAAAAAAAGTGTCTAGCATAGAAATGCAACATTCCGATTATAATGAGAATTTAAAAACTGAATCGTAATGATTGATATCACCCACAAATAAGTCAAGACGAAAAAAAATCTTGAATGTCAAGTTAGATACATGTATATGAGGTAATGTTTACGAAATTGTTCACATCAGTATTGCAACAATAACAAGATTAGCCATTGAATCTCGCAAAAGAAAAAAAATGAAAATAAGGTCATTATTCTAAAAAGAGGAACTATTGCTCCAAATTTCGAACAAAATTGCCACAAAGGCATGGATTTCTATAGAAAACTCAGTTTACCATTTTGTTTGAAAATTTCCCTTTTTATACAAAACACGCCAATTGTGATATTTACTTTGATGAAAGAAATATAGAGCAGGAATGAATTATACAAAAGTCGAACTATGCAAGCAAAATATTTTTAAAAATAAAACAGTTTTAAGCAAAACCGTCAAATGGACATGGACAAAAAAGTATTTTCTACCGCAGGCCGTGCACAATAAATATACATGTACAATTATAAGATAACGCATATCATAACACACAAATATCAAAAACTAACAAAGAACAGAAGCATAAAGAAGAAAAATGAAAATAAAAAACCAAGATACTACCACCCACCCCCCCCCCCCCCAGTCAGCAATCATTCTTTCTAATCAACGTTTTTTTTGTTTTTTTTTAGTTTATATTTAAGTGTCGAAATATAAATATTATCTTCTATTTACAATATTGTAAAGCTCAAATAGTAAAAAAAAAAATCATGAAGTTACTATTTACATTGCCCGTGTTTTCAATACAAAGAAAGACACATGTTTTAGTTTAATATATAAATACATATTTAAATATGTACGTAATATATATACGATCTACTATTTAAAATATTGTAAAACTCAAAAAATTGCAAAAACGTGATTTGACTACAGAGAAAGACATTGTTTTTTTTTTACATTTATAGGTAACTGATTCCAATATTAAATACCCTTATAACAAAAGCCCCTTTTCTTGAAATTCGTATGTGGTATGTTATGGCAGTTTTAAGGCTTTATGAGTAGTAATCAAACTTACATTGAATTACTGATTTACAAAATATTAGTGCAGTTTGCTGTGTAACATAATTTGTTATGGTCCAAGTCTTTTCAACAAAATATACATTGAAAACGCTCAAAACGAAGCTTGTGCCAAGAAACTCAAGTTGCGGTAAGAACATCAAAATGTGAACACATATAATTGCATCTAGAAAGAAAAAAAAATCGAAAGAAGATAATTATTACTTACACGATCTCGTCTTTGTAGATTTTGAATTGATGTTGACTCAGGAGGTCTTTAGGGTAGTTATATATGTCATTCACAGAACTAATGATAAGAGAAATTAAGCATAATGAATTATAAAATATACTTGGTCAATAAACGCCTAAATGTGACTGTGATTTAAAACAAACGAAAGACTATGGAAGGAATGAGTGAGTGAGGGAGAGGGAGATAGAGAGAGACAGAGAGACAAAGATGGATAGGTAGATAGATATGTGGAGAGAGAGAGAGAGAGAGAGAAATAGAGAGATGAAGATATAGAGATAGATAGGTAGTTCGTCAATTGGATAGATAGATAGATAGATAGGTAAGTGTTTAGGTAGAAAGAGAGAGAGAGAAAGAGAGAGAGAGAGAGACGAAGATAAAGAGATAGATAGGTAGTTCGTCAATTGGATAGATAGATAGATAGGTAAGTGTGTAGGTAGAAAGAGAGAGAGAAAAAGAGAGAGAGACGAAGATATAGAGATAGATAGGTAGATAGATAGGTAGGAAGAGAGGGGGAGAGAGAAAGAGAAAGAAAAGGAGAGACGAAGATATATAGATAATAGGCAGTTAGTTATTTAGATAGTTAGATAGATAGATTGATAGAGCGAGAGGAAGAGAGAAAAAAAGAGAGAGAGAGAGAGAGAGAGAGGGTGTGTACAAATATTGTTCTCCTGTGATCTTCTTGAAGGCAGTCTTCGTTAATAAAGTTATATAGTTATTTATACGCAATTTGTTTAACACAATTAAAATAAACTTCGTGGGGTTGAACATATTTTGAATAGTAGTCGAAATCCCGCGGCACTTAGGGTCGTGTACATGAATATGATCAGTACTTTTTTCAAAATTCCAAAATTTACCCAATATTTCAAAAAGTTATGTTTGTGTTTTGTTCTTAATAGTGATACATGCATAAGTATTATAGCCATACTAGCCTGTGTATCTTATTCAGTACATGACAATTGCGTATGCTGACATGCAGTATATGAGAACAGTGAGTTATGAGTTAACATAAACATCGTGACTATTTTATTATCTTTTAAAATTTGGAGTTCAAAATTGCATATCCTAAATGCTCGTCGAACAAAAGTTTGAACTATATATTACCAAATGGATATCAAACTGTGGAATGACGAGATATCCGACGCGCTATCACTGTCCAAGCTTTCAGGCGACTCGCTCCCGGAGGCCGTATCGCTGAATGGTGGTTTGAAGACATCGTCTGGAGTCCCGGGAGATTTACTGGAGTTTGCCGTTTCAAGAATCTATAAAGAATAATAGCGGGGTTCTGTTTGTTATTTCGTCAAAGTCAGTATATCTATTTCCTTTAAAAAAAAATTCCGAGGTGTGGCTAGAAAAAGACCAAGACGAAATGATTTGAAGTCATTTAGATGAAATGAGATGAAAGGATGTGAGGTGATACTGATATTTATTATAAAGATAGTGCTCATGATGATAATAATATTAATGATAATGATGACAATAATGATGATGATAATAATAGTAATAATAATAATAACAAAAACAATAACAATAACAATAACAATAATAATAATAATGATAATAATAATATTACAGATAATGATAATAGTAATAATATCCTTATTGATAATGATAATGATAATAATAACAATAATAATGATTATAATAAATAAAATGACAATAATACTAATAGTATTATTATTGATAATTAAAATTATATAATAACTCACACATTATAATTCACATAGGCCTAATCCACCACGAATGGTGTTTAAGGCGCTCCAATATTACTCCGACATTGCCGGCTAAGCTAGACTACCGTTTTCGGTGCCGCAGCATTCAGAGAATCCCTTCCTACCTACCCATTTGGGTAGAAATTGGCAAATATGGATTAACTTTTTGCCAAATGACAAGGCAGGACTCCAATCGCGAACCATATGATCCACAGTCCGGTAACGTATCCGCTAGACCACGACACCTCTAATCTTGATGAAGATGATGTAGAGGTATAAGGGTCCAGTGGAAACGTCTCCGCACTGTAAACCACGAGATGCAGGGTTCGAACCCTTGTCGCAGCCGTGCTAAAGCCAGGGTAATAAAATGGAGCGCCAGGAGTGGCAATGTGCCAGACATGAGCGCTATACAACAATCCACTATTATTCTTGTTATTATTATCATAGATGATGATGATGATGATGATGATGATAATGATGATGAACTATGATCCGTTTGAATTGAAGGTGATTTTACTTGCCACCGGGATGGACAATTGGAAAGATGACATTATTCGTTGTTTAGGGGGTGATTTTGGTTTTTGTAGAGTCCGAGCATTCTCTGTACTCCTACGTTGAGGAGACTCCAAACCCATCATCCGACGGAGAAAGTCATACCATTCGTCGAAATTTTCACTGAAAACAAGATTTAAAATATGCACCAATGATATTGGTTTTTCAAAACGATAATTAATTAATTAATGCGTTGAAAAAGTACACTTCTAAGGTGATATCTCGTGACAAATAGTAAAATTGTAAAAGGAAATATTTATATTACTATTATACCTTTTGGTGATAGCATTCTGACAACGGATTAATGTCATTATTGTCGACCTTTATACAGAGACATATGCAGTTTTTGATTGCGTTCCGATGGTACACATACCGAATAGGCCTATGAAATATACATGTTATAAATACACTAAAAATGTTAAGATGACGCCACAATACATCCAGTAATCATAGACTTGGGGGATTCAGCACAACATCAATATTACTATTGCATTCTGCACAACACCTATTAATTATTTACTGTTCTATAAGAAGAAGAAAAAAACATTCATTTTATGTCATTGGCCGTTCTCTATGAAAATTCGATGGTGTAATTTGTATATTTATTTTTTGCGATTTTCGATTTACCAACATGACGTGACAACGTGGTAACACCATAGTGGCATATTTACCATGAAGTGATAACAAAGATTACAAGTTTGTTTTGTTTATTCAGCGGTTCTGAATTTAAACTGTCTGCCATCAGATTAAAAAATAAATACTTTATCAAGTTTCAAAAGAGGTCTAAAGGGATTTCTTTTATCCAATTGTTCGTAAGCATGTGAAGAATTTACATTTTCTGCTTATCATGATCCTTTAAATGTCTTTTAACTGTTTTAACTACTATACATGTTTCCCATCGTATGCATTATTGCATGAACTATATATACATTTTTTATCATCGTATATATTCATTATTTTATTTATACAGGGAGCCTTATCATTGTGTAATACAAACGCTCTGTTTAAAGAAGCACCCTATTCCAACACTGTTTGAATAAATGAATAAAAGAATAAGTAGAAAGATAAATGGAGATTTAAAAAATATTTATTTATCAAATGAATAAATAAATATAAACATTGATAGATGAATGAATTCATAAATAAAATGCATAAATGAATCTATACATAAATTAATCTATATAATTAATTCATATGTAAATAATAAATAAATGAATTAACATCAATCTAGAATATTAAAATTTAATTTGTCTACCGTGACTCGTCTGTGAAATCCAGATGGATGAACATGGGTTTCTTTTTAGGTCCATATTTTAAGCAGAGGTATTTCTTCTCCGGCTCTAATTTTGTACTGATTTCAAGAGGCTTTACTCTCATAAATTCAGTTTTTTCTTCGCAATCAAGAAAGGATAAGACCTTTTCGCAAGGCGATAACATCGATGCCGTACGCCAGATGTTTCGCTTCGTCTGAAAAGAAGAAAGTAAATCGTCATAGTATATCAAATATAGCCAATGAAGTCAAATTTATTCACTTTCCAAACTTTGCATACATGATTTAAAAATGTGGCTTTTATTTTGAAGCAAGTAAAGCAAACATAATGCTGAAGCTTCTACAAAAAAATTACAACGTTTTAATTTAATTAAGTTTTAATTTGTTCCTTTCCTGTATATTCATAATATGTTTGTTTTTTACCACATAATATATCCGCCTCTCTGTTTTCTATTCATCTTTCTCTGCATGTCCTTCTTTCTTTCACCCTTAATGTCTCCCACTATGTCTGTCTGTCTCCTCTCTTTCTATCTGTCTATCTACCAATCTCTCTATATCTCTAACTATATCTATCTATCTCTATAATTCTCTTCGACCCTCTCTCTCTCTTTCTCTCTCTCTGTCTCTCTCTCTATCAATATATCTATCTCACTGTTTCTCTCTCTCTCTCTCTCTCTCACACACACACTCTCTCTCATGCACAAACTCTCTTTCTATCTCTTTCTCTATCTCTATCTCTAACTATATCTGTCTCTGTCTGTCTGTATGTCTGTCTGTCTGGTTAGTTGCCGCTTGGTCTACAGACCAGTTCGTCTACTAACCAATTAGTCTATTCCCATCATTTGGTGATTATTTTTTACTTATGGTTAAATGATTTAAGTTCATATGGATAGTAGATGAAATGGCATTAAACGAACTGGGAATAGACTGACTTGAAATTAGACTAAATGAGCAATATACCAAATGGGTAGTAGAATTATTGGAGATTAGACCAAATGGAAATTATAACGAATGACTAATAGCCCGAATGGTCATTAGGCCAAATGATAAGTAGACGAAATGATTATTAGACCATGTGGACAACAGACAGGCCGGGTGTAGACCATATGGAAATAGACCAATTGGGAAGTAAACGAACTGGTTGTAAGGCTATAAACCCCCTCTCTCTCTCTCTCTCTCTCTCTCTCTCTCTCTCTCTCTATCTTTCTCTCATTTCCCACCCTGGCTTACCTTAACAGATGCATCATCCTCGCTATCTGTAGTGATGAACGATACCACAGCTTCTTTCCTCTTTTCACCACAGGTAAAAGGTTCAAATGCCTCTTCAGTCGCCATCGCGACTCAATCCTAGTGATTTTGAGCAAATTTATAAAAGATAAATATTACACCTGGGACAGTAATGGTATACCCACCCCAGCCCCTCCTTTCAAAAGAAAACAAAGTTGTGGGCCCATAGGTAAACAAGAATGTTACTAAGAGCAAAATATTAATTATTATCGAAACTGTTTTTTGTATGATTGTAATTATTCCAAAGTTTACGGACTTGATTATGCTTTTAAGTTAAATGCTTTTCTAAGGTTAAACCTCATTTGTTTACACAATCCATTTTACATAGTAAACTTAGGGAAAGCCTGTAAATGTTTGGTTTAAAAAACGTCAGTACCCGAGCACAATAATCTATTTGCATCATACGGAGAACTACTTTAAATCAACCATCTTCCATTGTTTGCTTTCCCTAGTTGCATAATCCTTTTTTATTACCAATATATTTTAGAAATGGAAGGTTGTTTTCATTTTCTGAATAAGGTTACAAAGAATACAGCATCATAATAATTATGTACAGAGTTTGCGCACTTAGGGCACAATGTGATCACAGATCATAGGATGACACATATAGATTTTATTTCTAATAACCAAACAAATATTGATTACAAAAAAGCTACAATAATTATGTTTATTTCCCAAGAACAACTAATTTTAATGACATGCTTATGCTCAAACTCATTAGTACAATAAGTAAACTTCATAAGGTCTCTTCAAAACGTACTGGTTAAAAAAAAAAAAACATTTTATAAACGGCACCTGTCATTCCTATTCCATATATCCCTAAGCTCAATGAAACTCTACGCCAGTGTACGCGCTCTAAAACACTGTAATATCATTGTAATAGTCTTCTAGTAGGCTATTCCAGTACGATAGTACACATAATAAAAATTCATAGAGTAAATACAACTTTTATATCAATTATATCAACCATGATTACCTGATATTTAGTAGAAACTTTTTGTAGACAAGGGTCTAATTCCAATTATTTAAAATCCTTGGCAAGTACAATCGAAGAAAGAAAGTCACCATCTCATCATTTCCCCCAAATGCGAACTATTAGCAAAATTGATACCTGATCCATGATGTTGAAGTGAGAATGGTATTGCTATGAAGCCGGCTGCCAAACACGATGTGAGAATAACTCCTAACGTTGGCTACTGCATAAAATCAAATGAGGAAGCGATGGTGCCAAATTGTGCGACTTGGACAAACAATTATGAAGAATTCATGCATTTCAATTGTACTCATAGTAGGGCATCAAATCAAAGAAAATCATTGCGAAATGGCTTAAAGATGAGGGGATTCACAACTCTTGTGTTGACTTGACAGATTAGGGGGGGGGGGGGGGGGGAAAAACTCTTTTGTCAAAGAAGTTTGCAATGGGGTTACCATTTTTTTAATAGAATATTTGTTTTTTTTCTTTTGTTGGCATTTTTTAATTTCAATTTTTATTTTTCTGAAATACTAAGGGGAATCTCTGCCATTTTGTGAAGGGGGAAGAGTCCCAGATATAAAACGCAGAGTGAATTCAGACCAGAAAATTTTCGTATGAAGTGCTCATTTTTATCGCTCTTCATTGTTCATGCTGTTTTCCCTTTCTTTCATACATATTTATCTTTAATCATTTTTTATGAAGTAATGAGTTAGTTTTTTTGTTAGATATGCATTGTTTATAGTTTATTATGTTAGATGATAACCTTTTACGTCAGAAATTGTATTTCCATGATCTGAAATAAACTGAATGGCGTAAATACCGATGATTGGCCTTTTGCCCAAATATCTAGTACAGACCAATCCCCCCCCCCCCATAAAACAAAAATCAACATTACAATCCGCTATAGTACCCCCCCCCCCTCCTCCTCCTCTTTCAGATTGATTTTCTTTTCCTGATTGATCACAAGATAGGCCCTGATATACAGGTATTAACTGATACATGTATTTCAATATGGTAATTTCCCCCCCCCCCCCCAATACTCCATGTCATATCGAAGGACTTTAACTGGGATCTTTACACAACACATGTCAAGTCCAAATGGACTTGTGTCCAGGCAGGATGTCTACAGGTGTCTACGAGAGGGCGGATGGTGTAGGAAAAGCAAACATATAAATTTATTGGTACCCGTATTTTCCATATCCATATATATTCCAGATAAAATGGAAAGCCTAAATGTATTGCGAGGAAGAAAACGCACATCAAATACGAGTAAGAAGAGACAAGAAGAGGAAGACGAAGTAGAAGAACAAGAACAAGAACAAGAACAAGAGGAACAAGAACAAAAACAAGAGCAAGAACAAGAACAAGAACAAGAACAAGAACAAGAAGAAGAAGAAGAAAAAGAACAAGAAGAAGAAACAGAAGAAGAAAGCTGGAAAGTTACAATATTTTGATGTAATAATATGTCATGACTATATATTTTTTTTTAATTTGAATTTACCTTGAATCATAGAAATCAAGTAGCATGTACATTGGTGCGTCATTAGGTCCATATTCCACGCAGAGATATTTCTTCTCGGGCTCTGAAATCCTGGTGATTTCACGAGGTTTATACCTCATGAATTCCTCTCCTTCCGCTGAATGTAGGCAGAGGAGACTCTTCTCAGAAGATGATGTTCTAAAATAACTCTTCCTCTTTATCTAAATAAGAAATTGAGAAAAATAATAAATCTGTGTATATGATATAAAAATATGTACAGAAATCATACGAATAGATAAAAACGAGGTATATTTTTTCTTCAGTTTTTATAAGCTCCTGCTGTATTATTCACCAATCTAATAATGCAACAGTCTGCTTTAAATTATAAGTTTTTTTAAATTTGTATTCATAACATAAAGGTTTAATGTTTATGTTTATATTTGTCAAATGTTATCCATTGTTGTAAACATGATATTATTAGTCTTCGGACTACATTCATTTTTTAAATGTTAACTGTTTTTATTAATAAAACCCAAATTGAATTGAATTGTAAAAGATTGCCCAATTCAAAACTTCCAAAATGCTGGTCGGACAATTATAGATGGCTAGCTCATATCGGTATTTATCAATCTTTCGAGTTTTAAAACATAACATTTCTCGTTAAATACTTTCCTTCAATTTTACAACATATACAACAGGAAATGTAAAATTCACAGTGAGCCTTATCATGCTAGTATTATAACTCATATATTTACACAACCTTTAAATCTGCCAATAGATATAATCATGATGATGATATAAACAAATTGACCACATATTGATGATCTCATAACGACAAAAACCCGGAAAATACTGAGCGGTAATTACGGTATACATGTTTTCCGAATCATACTGTTTGTCTTCATTATCATACAGGTAATCCCGTCAAGAAACTCATGAAGCAACCAGAATTTTGAATTTGTACACGAATCCGGCTTTATAAGTTTGGAACTCAGCGTTCTGAAGTATAACAAAACCTACTTTGAAGAAGAAAAAAATGTCAATCAGCATATAATTATAATTCAAACTAAAAATGAAAAAACATGCAAGATGATTTGCTTGAATAAATTAATATACCAACCGCTCTAATTCTTAAAATGTGCATGGACGGTAAATTTACCTTGCTTTGTACATCCTGAATGTCTGATGTAAAGTAAGAAAACTCGGCCTCTTTCGTCGCATCGGGTTCCATCATCTTAGAATCGCTCCTGTTGATTAATAATTATTGTAATTGTTATTATTATTATCATTTTGTTTGGATTTTAACAACATAAGAAATCAGGAAACAGGCTATTGAGCAAGTATCGATAAAACGGATAATACAACCATTGTAACGTAAGAGACAGAATATGTGTTTTTATGTTACATATTATATATCTTGTTTTCTTAAAGGGTTGGCCTCTTACAAGGTTTGTTCACTTTTTGGCCACTGCCTTCCTCACTTTTTATAATTCACCTCCTGTATTGTCATACATTTGTCTGTTTCTGTATTTTTATCTGTTGATCTCTTGAGGAGAATTAAAATGAAACTGATGATTAACCTAATAACTGTGGCAAAAAGCCTTCCGTTCCAGTTCCAGTGATTGTAAACATAAAGTACTTTTTTCAAAAATATTCAATTTAAAAAATATAACCTTATGTTATCTTGAAATTAATACAAAAACAAAATCTCCCATCAACTAAAAACTCTTAATTTGGCCCGGATAAAAAACGAAGAAGGGGAAACAAGGAGAAAAGGAGGAGGTAAGGATGTATAGAGTTTTACAGTGTAACATAGAATGAAACTAAACGAGAGAAAGATAACACTTTGACATACATTTTAAAAGAGCAAAAAAGGGAGTAACCAGATTATGATGGTGATAGTAATGATAATATTATGTTACAAATAAAGCTTATTATTTAATTCACGTGAAAGCGATTTGATATGGACTGAGTTAAAAGGAATAAATCGAAGTGATATAAAAACACTTTTCTAATACTTTACATTACTGCTGAGTCAGTTGTGACTATGGATTACTGTACAATATAACTACGATACCAGGGATATTGACTGATAATTACTTACTACAAATACATATGGACAATAACGGATAGGACGTTTAATTGAGGCTCCGTGTAGAGGAGAGTCACCACCCACTGTATTATTCGTATATAAAAAGTTTACGGGGGGAAAAGCGGCGTATAGTGTTCCACCTGCACAACCCAAATCAGTTATACCGGGAGGAGAGACCCGAGGTCACAGTGATTCATGTCAATTTTCGCCTCCCAGGTACAGGTGATGCCAAATACTTAATAATAATAATAATAATAATAATAACAATAACGATAATAACACTATACACATTGCACTATATACTTTCATGCAATTTCAATGGTCCCCGCTGACTACAACTTCTGAACAACTTCTGAAACTATTCTATTGTTTCACATAATTTTTAAGCATTATCAATTCACACCAAAAGAATAAGATATAACCCATTACCATCAGTTATTGATCATCCTAATTTGAAGAGTTTTAATTTTGTAGCGGCTCTTACATTCGCCCTACTTACATTCGCCCTACTTTCACCGTACATTCATGTCTCCTGTATTTTCCATCACGGTACTTATTTATATTCATTATTCGGACCACGTGTGTTTTTCCTTCCAATCGAGCACCGTGGTTCCGCGCATTCCTACACCCGCGTATTTTCATCACCACGAGGTTTTCTCCACTCCCGCTTCCAACTTGGTCGAGTCAACAACTCCTGCTTACATCTCAGTTGAGTCAACACGTCTCTGCATGATTTCCTCTCCGGGCTTGATTCTACTTTGCCTATCACTTCTATCGGCACATCTTCACTTTCTCTGCCGTGTTCATCGGGCTGCAGTCTTCCAGTGGAACAGTTAAATCTAGTTCCGACATATATGGTGCTTGGTTATCCGCTGAGAGCTGCCAGTTTCTTCACCGGTAGTCTTTCACTCACATGAGCTCGACTCACCGCAGCTCATCTAAACATTCATCATCAAAGTTCGGCTCATCAATCGAGCGTCTCACTGCTCAGCACCACTACCGGCTTTGATGTCTGCATTTTCCACTTTGGCCTCCGACATCAAGCGACTCACTGCTTTCGTCATCGAGCGCCACACATCTCTTCTCTTCTCTTCTATTCTCGCCCGAGAGCTCCATCTACATTCATCATCATCACGAGCGTCGACGACGACATCGCGTTCTTCACGGTTCTTCAACCACGTCAACGAAGTCGCGTTTCCGCCATCAAGCCTCCGCACATCATCGCGTGAGCCCCTTCCTTTGTTCTCAACTCTCTTCATCTTCATCTTCTTTGGACTTTCGACTTCATTTCTACTATTGTCGTAAGCTCTATTTATGTACATCGCATTTATTCACGTTCATTATGTACATCGCATTTATTCATGTTCATTATCATCATTGATCATTATGTAATCTACGTGCAATATTCACATTTACCATTTATGCATTTTCATTCCGATTCTTCGGCTTGTGCTTGACTACACTTTGCAAGTGTACGTCAGCCTCATCAGTACCCAATAAACTAACGTAAAGGAAAATATCTCCACAATTTTACTACTTTGTAAAATCACGAGCTGGTATTAGTATTACATGCTTCTTATACATATATTTAGAAGAAGTCAGATCAGAAAGGAGAAATAATATGAGGAAAAAGAAATCAAAGAATACAAGTGCATAATTTATGCAAAATAATGCTGCTTCTAA